TAAAACCAAAAAAAAAAAAAAAAAAAAAAAAAAAAAAAACGCAAAAACACTTCTTACATAATTATTCGAAGTTTAAAATCCAATTGATTAAACAAAATTAAATTAATTTATATAAAATAATGGCAATGATTGTATATAATTATATATACATATATATTATATTAATAAATTATAAAATGTAAGAAAATATTTGCAACATTCCGATGTGATTAAATTACAAAAAAAAGTAATAGAGTAAAATAAATAAATAAAAAATATTAAACAGTACATAACCAAGAGGTAGAGGTCAAATAAAATAAGAAAATTAACGTTATAAATTAAATAAATAAATAACAAAAGAAAAACTCATTTTTTTTCTCATGTGATAATTAATATGTAATTAATAAAATAATAAAACAGTAACCACCACAATAATTAAATTAATGGCTCTAATAGTAATTATTATCGTGCATAACATTCCTTTCGTAAAAATAATAGATAATACGAAGAAGAAATAAAAAAGTGTACGTAGGTCTTAAATTTCAACAAATTATTAGATCTCTAGCGGTGTTTACATGAAAAATATTTTATTATCATATTCATATAAATATATATCAAAAGCATAGAATTTATTCTTTAAAACATATTTAACAATTTATAGTTGCAGGTCCAAATATTTGTACAAGTCCATAAATTATAGCTTCTCCTATTCATGGGTACAGAAATCAAGGTAATAATTATTATATAAAGCTTATAATCAAATATTCAAACCTAATATATGTTTTTGAAATATTACTGTAAGGTAAGAGTCCCAGTAGCTGCTCATCAGGAACCAGTACCTGCTCACTCCATGTATTTGTATATCTGCATTTGTGAATATAGATATACAAATACATGGAGTGAGCAGGTACTGAGGCTTTTGTTTTACCTTACACAAAATATTATTTTTTTTTTTACTTTTAAAAATCAATTTTGCTATAGTTTTATTTTACTCCAAATACATGGTATAGTATTTTATAGTAGGGTAAAAGACCCCATTAGTGGCGGGGACCCAATTACTGACACTTTCTTTGATTTTGGTACTTATTCAATTAATGAAATCATTAATTTCAATAATGAATATATATTATTTCTAATCTTTAAGACCTTTAGATCAAATAAATTTTTAATTTTTATTCCAAGTAAAACATTTTTTCATTGAAAGAAAAAGTGCCACTAATAGGGCCTTTTACCTTATAGGTTTTATATTTTGCTGTCATTTATCATTGAGATTGATATTAATTTCTGTAAACCAGAGCGGCAAAAACAGAGAACTCAAAAAGCATTACCTGGGCCGTGCTTTTATAATATACAATATTTTGAAATATATTGAATCGAGTTAGAGAAGCTAGATACATAGTTCTGCGATATTTAGTGAAAAAACAAAAAACGCTTTTTAGTTTAGTCTAAAATTAACTTGATTCAAGAGCAATAATTTTCTAATTTTTCTAAATTATTAATTTAGAATTTAGAACTCAAAACGAAAAACCAAATATTTTGAACCAAGAAGAAAAGTAATTGGATTGGAAGATTTTTTTTAATTTGAGTAAATCTTACTTTTTTGAAGAATTCTTGTATTGATTTCATTCTTCAAAATAATTTTCTCTGTTCAAAATTTACAATCTTTTGCTTTGAAAATTAAAAATTTACAAAACTTAAAACGTTAGTCCTCTTGAGTTTCTTGATTTCAGTTGTATATTTTTTTATATTTTTAATTTTGTTTAGCCGACATACAATTCTTTGCTAAGACCTCTAATCTAGTTTGAATTATTATGATTATTAAGTAACAAATTTACTTATTTACAAAAATAAGTTATGTTTATACAATTGTTCAAAGTAATTTATACTTGAATTTTTAATTTATTTTATAGGAGCAAAGTTAAACTTTATAAATTCAAGATATCGCCATTTGTACGATTTTTGTCGTCAATATTAAATATCAATAGAAGCGACATAACATAGAACTATTCAAATAATGTATAAACATTAGTTACAATTCTGATAATTTGATTAGAATGCATTCATTATTTGTTTATTTACTTAATCTTTTTTATGTAAACTATCTAATTTAATTTATGTGTTACGATTGTTTTTGGTAATTGTTTGACAGCGGGAGTCCATCCTACTTTTGGCAATCAAACATAAGAAAATAGACATTTTCGAATATTTTTTTTTTTTTTTTGCGATACCAAATATTTTTATTCTATTTCTGATAAGTAAAAAGTTCTAAAAATAATCATTGGAATAATTAAAAATATTTTCTTAGATTAGTTTTAAAGCTTTAATGTTGCAAAAAATTCAAGAAGGATAGCCACACAAGACGTTCGAAAAAATAGGTAATTTTCAGAAATTTTTTTGATCGGAAAAATAGAGAAATTTAGGGATCAGAATTTCTTTGTTCTATTGCATGTACATTGAAGACTAATAGCCTAAATTTTTATTGAGAATTATCAAATCTTTACTAACATCAAGTAATTAAAGGGGTTTTCTAGTTTGACGCCCTGTTTTTTGACCATTTTTTTGGGATTTTTTTGTAAAGACCAATGAAGAGATAGAATTTTGAACAGTTTACCATTTATTTATACATATTTCAAGAGTATACAGTTAAATTTTTAGCTAAAAACATTCAGTAGAATTAAAGTTACAGTGGTCTGAAGACACCCGTCTCGAAACAAATTGACGCTCACTTCCTCCATGATATCAGCTGTTTGGCTAATCTGAAACAAAAAAACCAGGCGGGGTTTCAATCTATATACTTAAATACACCGAGTGGACTACGATAAAAAAAATTTTGAAAATTGGATTTTTGACAGACTTCGAAACAAAAAAGTCCGAATTTCATTTTTTTTTGTTAACTTTTTGATATAAAAAAATAGAAATTTTCAAAATTTTCTTTTAATCGTAGTGCTTGGTGTATTTAAATATACCGATTAAAATCTTGCCGGGTTTTTTTGTTTCAGATAAGCCAATCAACTGATATCATGGAGGAAGTGAGAGAAGTGAGCGTCAATTTTTTTCGAGATGGGTGTCTTTAGACCACTATAACTTTAATTCTACTAAATGTTTATAGCTAAAAATTTTACTGTATACTCTTGAAATATGTATAAATAAATGATGAAAAGTTCAAAGTTCTATTTCTTTATTGGTCTTTACAAAAAAATCCCAAAAAATGCTCAAAAATCAGGGCGTCAAACCAGAAGACCCCTTTAACATTCTTATCGAGCCGTCAAAAAAAATTCCCCCTCGATGGTCGCATCGTAATCTCAAAAACGGGTCATCCGAAAAAAAAATGTAGTTATTTTATAATCTGTATGAATGTGCGGTTATCTTTTCACGTAGCCTTGATACTAAAATTAGCCGACAAATAAGAAAATACTTTAAAAAGTTGCACGTATAATTTTTCAAATTTTCTACATGTAAAAATTGATCTTTCAACTTTTTTGTAATACTTTTTTCAATAGAAAAAATTATAAAAATTTTCAGATGTCAGCTAATTGTTATTTTCATCGCGTAGCCAATTTTTCTTATTTTGATTTGAAAAAAAAACGGTCACCAATTAAAAATTTTTCCATATTTTTCGACTACGTGCAACTATAGCCACTGTAAAAACAAAACAAAAAAAAAATTTGAAATTTGTTTGAGTTATTAATGCAACTAAGGTAAAGTACCCAGTACTTGAACACTTCTAAAAATGGGACCAGTAGTTAAACAGACTTTTAGAATTGCTGTAATACAAAATCTGTACATATATTATAAGTCATATGCGCATTTTATAATTATTCAATGATACAGTAATTGATTTTGGTAAGTTTTTTCAATTATAAATCAAAACAATTACATTTTTGTTAACTTTAAAGTTGACATGTCAAGAATCGCCGATAGATGCTATTTTTTTCATGAAAAAGGTACTAAACCGTAAACCGAACAATCAGTAAAAAAAACGGTATATCATCACTTTAAGTGAAAAAAATTGTACCACCCAATGAAATAGTCTTTTCTAAATAATACATATTTTTTGCAAAGACATTAACTATAATTTTTATATTAAATTTTAGCGTTCAACTATACCTCCCAATTTTCAAAGCGGTACCCAGAACTTGAACAAGCTAGGACCGTATAATTTTAACAGCACTCTAACCTTCAATAGGTTTATAGACTAGTGATCAGTATTGTGATTTGTATTAATTAATGCAAATTAAATAAGTTTTATAACTAAAAATTAGTAAAGTTAAAAATTATTCAACGTTTTGAATTGTGTTTTTTTGATTTATAATTGAAAATTTACTTTGTCATTCATAAAAAAATGTAATTAATAAATTAAATACAAATATTTCTCATTTTTAAATGAACATATTAAATATTTATAGTATTATTTTTAGTATTATTCAATAATATATTATAAATCTTTGAATATTTCAATTAAACGTTAAAAATTTTTGGTGTGCCTATTGCCATATATTTTATTAGTTCAACTGCTGCTCCCAGAGTGTTCAACTACTGCGGCTTGTCAGAATTGATTGTTCAACTACTACTCCTTTCATAGTCTATCTTAAAAAACGTTGTCAAATTATAAATATTCAATTATTTGCGTTATTATGCACTTCAATCAATTCAAAATTGTTTATATTTTCATGAAAATCACTAATTTGAACTAATAATTACATATTTATATATTAAAAGTAGGGTCAAATACCCATTTTACTTTGAAACCTATTCAACTACTGGGTACTTTACCTTAATAAAAAAACTTTCTTTAAAACATTTATAAAAATAATTTACTCGTTTAACACCAAAAACATTTAATCAGTCTCTATTTATTTAAAATAGTCACGCTTTCAATATTGTCATTTACTTCGGGTGTGAGTGGGGATATGTGACGTCACTTATCCCCACTCTCGCCCGAGCATGATTGGCGCTAGGCACTACCGGGTTTCTAGGCCTAAAATTCGATAATTTACGAACTTTAAACGCAAAATTAATATCGTTATTAAAAAATTTGTTATTTTATTCACAATTTTTCAAGTTTATTTGATAATAAATTATAAAAAAAAATCAACAATAAAAATTTAACAACTGATCATTTTTTTCCATTTCATTTTGGTGAAAATAACCGCGAGTGGTTTTACAAAAAAAATGGGTAAAAATGCAAATTGTCGTAAAAAAACAAAAGTCAAGCTGGAGTTGAAGCTGAATTAATCATGTAGAATTGAATAGAAGTTAGTTTGAGTGTACCGACATCTATTGGAATAGTTTAACAGACGGATCCAAAGTAAATATGTAGATAAACCCAGAAAAAAAAAGGGTCGTAACAGTAGCAGGATCCGGAATTCGAGCAGACTCCTTGGAGTGTCCTTTATAGTTAAACTGTGCTCAGGATCCATGTGAAATTCAATACTACCCACGTGAAAGACACTATTAGATAAATAAGGACTTCAACTATTAGAAAAAAATTTAATTTACTCATAATCTAATATTTTTTATTTTACATTGGCGGCGAAAGGACCTCCTTAAAAACGTTGTCAAATTATAAATATTCAATTATTTGCGTTATTTTGCACTTCAATCAATTCAAAATTGTTTATATTTTCATGAAAATCACTCATTTGAACTAATAATTACATATTTATATATTAAAAGTAGGGTCAAATACGTTTTACTTTGATACCTGTTCAACTACTGGGTACTTTACCTTAGTTTGAAAAAAGTCGTTTTGTGAAAAACGCGTTTAAAGGTTTTAGTCTATTTTATTTTACGTTACGCCGAAATCATGTATTTCATGAAGTATTTATATTGATGACACTGAAATTAGCAGACACGTACTTGACTATTTTTTAATTTTATTCGACAAAAAAAATAGGTCTAGTAAATTGTTTTTAAAAAATTGCATTTATAGTTTTTTACAACTTCTTAATGTGGAATTTTTTTTCTTACTCTAATTTATTTGTTAAAAAAATCCTAAAAATGATCAAATGGTTCTCAATTTCAGTATAATTTAAATTGAACTATTGAGTCTTCAATATGAGGCCATGTGAGGGTTCTTTCACCGAATCTTCAGTGGTATCCATGAATTTTTTAATATTTTTATTGATAGTTTCAATTCGATTTTTAGCTGATTCGACATTTTCGTCAGAGCGCTGATCGAAAACTACCGGTTTACCTGCTTTCACCAAAGTGACACATTTTTTTAACATATAAACTTTGATTAAATTTTTTTTTTATTTGTCACAGTAGCTATCCCCCTTAAGTATACCGGTTTCTAGTATTTATTTTTTATTCTTTGGTTAAAAATAAACAGTTATAAAAAAAAATTTAGAAAATATATATTTTTTGAATTTCTTGATTTTTTATGAGTTGAAATTTTTTTTTTAATAGTTAAACATCATTTATATGACATTAAAATTAGCCGCACTTGACCAATTTTTAATTTTATTTAACAATTAAAAACTCGAAAAAATTATTTAAAAAAATTCCTTTTTTAATTTTTTTTACTTTTTACATGTCATTTTTTTTTTTCTTATTTTTTTTGCCATAACTTATTTGTTAATAAAAGTTCTGAAAATTATTAAATATCTGCTAAATTAATTTTCATATCATTTATAAGTAAAAAAATAGACGGAAAAAAAAATCACGGAATATAAAGTCATATTTGAAATTGCCCCTCAATGTGCAAGTAGAGACATCTACAATAATTTTTTTTTTTTTTATTAATATCATGGCGCATTTTGATAAAAATTGAAAGAGCTTTGTGCCAATCAAATGATGTCAGTTGTGGTTGATCTGGACCAATGAAAAAACGCCAAATCGGTAGTATTTATTTCTCTTTCTCTCTCTCTCTCTCTTTATCATCGTAAAATACACATTTACATGCATGCTATGTAATGTGTGTTTTTTAATACTTGATTATATGTTTATATGTATACATTAGTTACGAACAACTAACATGAATACAATCCATAACAGTCTATCAGTCTTCTTCACTGCGTATAATCACATTTGTTGTTTCTGGTATACAATAATAAATTAGATAATTGGATAACCAATTATTTGATTAAAAAATAAATATCTTGAAGTAAGTACAATAATTTTATAATAATCTTATAATAATTAGACTAATTATAATTATTTTTTGTTGTAGATAAAATAATAAAAAACTCTTATCATAATTTCCGCTTCACGAATGATAAACTAATCAGTTCCAGTGACATCAGTTACCATTATTTATCTATCTGCATCAATTACTTACACAAAGTAAATAAATAATTAATTCTGTGTGAAGAATAAATTTATATCGACGTGAAATATTATAAAGGTCAATAGTTGGTGTTAAAACATTTATTGGCAGTTTTTGTTTTTAATTTAGTTTTTTTCATCCACACAATGGCTAAAGTTCATAATGATACAGTGATTAGGTTGCTTATCAGAGCACCTGATCAGCAAATTGACGATCAGACTTTTGACTGTCAATTTGATTGGACTGTTGGGCAACTTAAGGAATATCTTCATGAAGTTTATCCAAATAACCCTGTAAGTTATTAATAATTTTTTAAAAATTTATTCATCATTACTAATAAGTTCAATAGCTTGTGTATAAGAGCACTTTTCAGTTATTGTTGATGTCTGGGAATATTTTTATGACATCAAAATAATATTTAACTGGATCATGTTTTTGTTTATCTCCGATAAATTATATTTTTGATAACTTTATTATCTCTGTGATGCTGTCGAAAATTGATAATTGAAACGTAATAAAATATTAAAAAATAATTTCAGGCATGAAAAAATTTTTGAAAATACTAAATAATTATTTACTGAAATGAAAAAACAGTTTTTAGAATTTTTCTTATACATATATTATGAAAAAACAATTATAAAAAAAGGTAACTTGAGCCATACAAAATCGAAAAATTGTCATTTTTAATTAATTATTCATGAAAATGAAGTTAGCCGACAATTCTAAATTTTTAAAAATTTTTTATTGAAAAAATTTCAATTAAACATTAAAAAAAAAAATTTTCACATGTAAAAAACTTGAAAAACTATAAGTGCAATTTTTTATAAATATCTTTTTAGTTGTAATTTAATTAATAAAAAAAATCAATAATTTTTAGACGTCTGCTAACTTCAGTATCATAATTATTCAATTACTTTTTTTTTTCATTACGTTTACTTCTACGATAGAATTTAAATCTAAAAATAAAATTCATAACGATATTGAATTTTCAACTTAAATATGCAAAAAATGAGCATAAAAAAATTAATAAATTTGCCACAAAAGATGAAATCAACAAAGAAATTTTGTCGATATTGTAGCTTGATTATTTTTATTTATTGAATGAAACTAAAAAATCGTCAGATATCTATTGATTTCAACTATTGGTTTCGACGAAAATTTTTCAGCAATTAAAAATTTATATTGATGTATTGAAAGTTTGACAAATTAGACATTTGAAAAAATTTTAGTTCTAACTGAGCGAATTTATAACAGCCACAGAATAAAAATTTTCGGAAAATAGAAAAAAAAAAGTCGATTATTTTCAGTATTGAATAGTAATAGAAATGGTTTAGAATTACTTACACGGCAAATTAAAAATAAATTTTAATTTAACGGAAATATATTACTTTAGTTGAACTTCGATTTTTTATTTATTTTTATTTATAATTAAAATGAACTTTAAAAAAGTTTTTTATGTTTAAAGAATCATCTATGGATCAGTTTCTCAATTCGAGATATAATTTTATCCAATGATAAAGTATATCTAAATATTTCATGTGATAAAATCAAGTCTCGGATTGAAAAATGGACACTTAGTTTCCATATCCCTCAAAATGTATATTTATTTACAATTAACTTATCTGTTACTAGCAGCCCGCCTCGACTTCGGACGGGTATTTAACAAAAATTTGAAAATATAATATAGCCTATGTCACCCGGGGATAGTGTAGCTTTCCAACGGTGAAAGAATTTTTCAAACCAGTTCAGTAGTTTCCGACCATATTCAATGCAAATAAACAAACAAACAAACAATCAAATCTTTTCTCTTTATAATATTAGTATAGATGAGTTTTCCTTAGAGCCAGTTTTTCAATCCGGGATAAAATTTTATCCAAGATAAATTTTTTCGAAGGTTCCTACAAATCATTCCCGGCAGAATTAAAAGAAACTCTGTAACTCATATTGCTGCAATATTTCTTCCCATGTATAACAATCTATTTTCTGTCTCTTTCTTTATATTTCTTTTATTTTTCTTTATTATTACTGTTTATACTTAATTCCCCTCATAATTTTTGTAATATCAATATGTACAAAGCCGTTTGGCGTTAAATGTATAATAAATAAATAAATAAAAGTACTGTCAATATAATAAAAAAAAAAATATATATATATATAAATAATTTAGCGACGTGATATTGCTCTCAGTTAGTTCTTGATGAATTTGGTCATTTATTATTTAAATAAAAAAGAAATACATCATAAAAATAATAATAACCCTCTTATTGTGTCATTTAAATTATTTAAAATTAATTAACACAATTATAAATTAATAATAGATATGTCAAACGCAAGATATGAGCTCGAAGAGCCAAAAAGCATAGAACAGCGACCGATTTGAGCTCGGAGAACTCAAAATAACACATTGTGTTATTTGTAATTTGGAGCTCGATAACGTTACAATTGCAATTTCAATCGCTTAGATATAGAATTAACGGGATGTTGCAAGAATGGCCTTCATCCGTTTTCCTAATTTTTATTTTATTTATATACAATCAGCAAGTTGTCAAAATTGGATATTAATATTTCTATGACATGCGGCTAATGTTTATTTATTTTAATTAAAAATAAGTGACTGAATTCAGGGAAAACTACTCGTACGCAATATCACTGTACTGAATTATTTATTTCTATTATTACATTGGGAGTACTTTTATCTCGGATAAAATTTTATCTCAGATTGAAAAACTGGGCCTTAATGAAATTATAATGATATTCGTTTATTTATTTTTCAGAAAAAAGAAGATCAAAAAGTAATATATTCAGGTCAAATATTAAACGATTTAATGATTTTAAAAGATGTGTTTTATCAAAATTATAATTTAGAAGAAGAATTATTTATTGTACACTTGGTTTGTCCATCAAAAATACCGTTTGCATCGACTTCTAGTTCAAAAATCTCAACAAATAAATCTATGAGTAACAAGCAAAATTCAAATACCACTGTTAATAATTCACCACCATTAGTATTATCATCATCATCATCATCAACAACAACAACAACTTCATCAATATCATCGCCGTTATCTTCATCAGCAATACAATTTCCTCCACCAGGAGTACCAATGTCTCCGATCCAACAATATTATACTCAATTGAATACTCAACAACTAGCATGGATGCAACAAGCTTATGCTCAGTATTTGAATCAATATATGCAATTGTAAGTATCATTTGCATATTTTAAAATTATATTTAATAAAAACTAAAATAAATAAATTTAATTTTTTTTCCTTCAGAATAGCTTCACAAGGGATTCAGTTGCAATCAGTGCCTTATGTTCAACAATCAAATTTAAATGCAAACCCATTAAATATAAGCGACAGTGTTAATCTACCTTCAACTTCGAGTACAGTACTTCCTGGTATTCCTTCGACATCTGGCACTAGTGCTGCAGCAAGCAATCAAGATCAAACACGCACACAACGAAATGATAATGAAAACAGACAAATTAATAACAACAACAACAACAACAATAATAATAATAATAATAATAATAACAATAATGCTGGTGAAGATAATGAAGCAGCATTGAATCGTGATTGGCTAGATGTATTTGATGTATTCGCACGTGTTATTGTATTGTCTAGTATTGTTTACTTTTATTCATCACCATCGAGATTCCTTCTTGTTACAATGCTCGGATTTGCTATTTATTTGTAAGTATTTATATATATACAATACATTAAATAACTGTCATAGTTAATCGATAGAAAAAAGTAGTGACATTTATCTTTATCTAACTCTTTATCTTTATCTATCTATGTCTAACTCCATTTTAGAAAATCTTTTATTTTTAAGGAAAAACAATTCAAAATTTATTATCACTTTAAAAAACAATTTAATATCTAATAGAGGTATAATATTTTCGTTTGGATCATTTAAATAATTTGTAATTGGACTATTGTTACATCAAAATGTTAAAAAATCACCTTCTAAAAAATACGGAGTTAGACCAATTGCTAATTAGACCGTCGAAATTAAATTTAAAAAAAATCTTGCATTTTATATTATACATTTGAAAATTAAAAAATTATTAAGTTAGGTATTAAGTCATCAATACATGAAATTAAATTAATTATCGTTTGAAATTGGCCATTATGTCATGAAATTCCATAATTAATTACAAACCATTTCACTTAATATTGAAAAAAATTTTAATAATGAGTAAATTTAATGAAATCATCACGCTTACATTAAAAAAGAAAATTTTGTTTTATTTTATTTAATTAATGGTGGAATAAAATTATTTATCATCATTTTAGAATACAAGGAGGATTTTTTCGAGGACAACAAGTGGATCTTACGGACAATAATGGGCGTGCAGAAAATAATAATAATAATAATATTAATGTCAACAACAATAATAACATAAATGCTAATAACAATAATAATGTTATTAACGATAATAGAGTGAACCAAGAGAATATCATTAATAATCCAGCAAATGAACCATTGATTGGATTGCAAGATCAACAACCACAATTACGCCAGAGATTGAATGTACAACATTCGATTATCAATTCAACTACTGCTACTAATTCAAATATCAATACAAATATTAATGAAACAAATAATGAAGAGACAAGAACGGTTAATCAAAATGAGGATAATGAAAGGCCTGGTGCTTTAGCATTAACATGGACATTCTTTAGTTCATTTTTTGCTTCATTAATACCAGAACAACCACATGTTTTGTAAATTAATCATATATTTAAATTATCAATTATACGTCATTTAAAGTGACGGTTATTTATTTGTATTATTATTATTTTTGTTATCTGTTTAATTTGAAAAATGTGCTAATTTTTAAATTTTCTAGCACGAAGTGACTCAAGACCCAAAGATGTTATAAATATATAAACACATGCATATATATATATATATATATATATATATATATATATAAATATAAATATATAAAAAATTAAATTTATTTGTTTCCAACGACCGTGATAAAAAATATGAAATATATTTTTTTTATTCTCATATATAATTAGATTGAATTTTCATTCTCAAATTGCCAGTTCTAATAGTTATAAATTACGTGAAAAATGTATTTAAAAAGTTGATAAATAATTAAGATATTTCATTAAATTACCAATATTGATGGTATATAATTATATAAATTAGTAATTAAAATGAATAAATATATATTAATGTATTATAATATAATAAAATTGTATATATTTTTTATGTTCAAGAATATAAATAAATAACATATATAGGAAGTTGTTTCAAGGACTTTTTTTTTCATAAATTTTAATTGAGCCAATGATAAAATTATCTGATATAATTATCTCTTTGAAAAATTGTATTTTTTTAATATTTAAGTTTCTTTACAGAATGACATTTGAAATTAAAAATACAATTTATTGTAATGATCTTTAAAAATATTAAATTTTTGTAAATTACATGACAATTATAACTAACTCAAGGATACCTTTTTTTTTATTTCATGAATGATTTAATATTATTCAATGCTTAATTTTTATGGAATCTTACATAAGTGTATAATGAAAGTCGCTTTACAAAATAATATTTTCCAAAGTAAAAAGTTTTATAAAATAATATAAAACTTCATAAAATTACAATAATTTTTTTTTTTAAAGGATGAAATACAATTTCATTAATTAGCTAAATTTTTTTTTTTAATTTAATAAAGTTAGAAATTTATTTCAATAATGAAAAATTCGTTTTTCATCAAAGTAAAATAAAAGTTTACAATATTTTGCAAGTTTCATAAATTAAAAACTTTTATAAAATTTCATATTATATTCTTTATTATATATTAGTTTTTTATCATTTCATAAATTATTTCTATTTATAGTTAAATATTATCTAAAATTTACTATCGAAACCTTGCTTATATTAGATTTATTTTCGTAACTTGATGTGTTTCCAACAGATGTCACTAAAAATGAATCAAAGCGACTAAAGCACTAGAAAAAGATGAAAAAAAGTGAGGGAAAAAGGACAGCAAAAAAAATAGTATATATGAGAATATAAAAGAAACAGAAATAAGACAATTCAATACGATACGCTTGGAGGTTTAAATATTTGAACAGTGAAGTGTTAATATAAGTAATCGCTCTGAAGAAATAGTATGTAATTATATACCAGTCATTAGAAAGTTGATACTGAACAACGAATCTTGTATCTCGTATCGTAAAGTGTCTTATTTCATTTAATCTCGAGTAATTTCGAGTGTCGATTATATGTACCATCAAATAAACTAGGTAGCTATCTTCACATTGTACTTGTTGCTTTCTTGTATTTTACAACGATAAATAATAAAAAAGTCTAGTTATATATAAGAAATATAAATATACAGTAGCAAGCAGCTGCACATACACACGTTTATGTAAAAGTTCATATAGTAGCGATACCAACATTCTGTGTTAACTCACACTGATACAATTTCTTACCTCGTCTACGATCCTCGACCGCTTAAAAATTTTTTTTCTTTGTTATGCATTTTTATAGTGTACGCACTGTGAGAATTATCACGCGGTTTTTCGACCCTCTAGCTTGACTGAACATAACATGTTTTAACATAAACATTCAAATATTATAACACTGTTATTATCCTTGATTTGTTATTATAGTTTTTTTTTTTTTTATTTTTTATCCCTCAATTGTAACCAACGATTAAGTGTATATAAGTGTAAATATTAATTTCTCATTTCATTAAATAGTATCAGTTGACCGGTAAATCGAATTACAGTGATAAACATTTAATTTATTGTTTATTGTAAGTAAATAAGTGTTTTTTTATTCAAACTAAAATTTTAAAAGTGAAATAATTCTAAAAAATTTTTGTTTTCAATTTTTTTTTAAAAATAGGAAAAAATTCCAAAAGCATGAATTAAGAAAAAAAAAAAAAATTATAAAAGTAAATTTTTTTTTAGCATTAATATTTCAAGAAAAATAAAAAAAATATTCAGATGTATGCTGATTTATTTTTATTTTATCAATTTTTTGGCTAAAATCTATGGATAATTTCTTCTATATCAATAGATATTTATTTTTAAATCATTATGTTATAATTATATCACTTTTACTCGTTAGTATATTATTTACAGATCTAAAAATAATCATAAAAGTTTATTTTTAATATCTTAATTTCTCTTACGCCTATATGCCTAGTAACCAAATAGTATATATACATATATATTTTTTGTTTTTGCTAAAACACGTTTGGCATTATTATAATTATATAAGTATATTAATTGAATAAATATAATTAATTACAATTGTACTAAAATAATCAAATCTATTTCAGGAATTTCAACAATAGGATTTGAAAATCCTATTTTTGGAGTAAATAAAGATGTCACAGCATTTTATGACCGTATGTGTAGTGTGTGTATTATGTGCATCACACATACCCTGTTCAGCACATACAACAATATCATCAGTATTAAAAGCATCATTAGTGACTGAAAAAAAAGATTTTGTTTCTAATACTCTTTTCACGGAACAATTGAATACACTTGATAAGATTAATTATAATTATAATGATAAAGTTAATATTAACTATGAAAACAAAAAAAAAAACAGAAAGAAAAAAACTCATAATGACAAATTAAAACAATATGATGACAATGATTATCAAGTACATCACGATAATAATTATAATTTGCTAGAAAATAAAGAAATTATGGAAAGACTTGGTCAAACACCATCGCAAACAAATGAAAATTTATTTGTAAGCAAGAATAATGTCAATAGCTATAAAAAGGGAAATCAAAGAGATAAGAGGCACGTTGAAACTGAAGAAAAATATTACTTGAAAAAAATATTTGACACTTATGGTGATGGCAATAGTTTAACTATGGATGGTTTTGAAGTTATGTTAAAACAACTAGGACTTTTTAAATTAATTGTAAAACATGGACTCAATGACAATAACAATTCAGTTTATAACGGTATGGAAAAAACATAATTGTTTTATTATTAATATTAATATTTAATAACTCTTTGTTACCTAATTATTATTATAATTATAAGCAATCAATTATTTTCTTGGATCACTTAAGATCAATTGATTTTCGCGGTATTTAACTATCACGCGTTATCAATTGACCTATTAAACATCAACAATTCATTCTAATTTGAATTAAGATATTTTTCCCTTACATATTCATTTTTTTCTCACGTTAATTAATAGTCTTGATCCCTATCTTTATTAATAATTCTTTAAAGTAATTTTCTTCACGATATTTAATGAATATACAATTTAATATCATTATTGAAAACGAATAAGAATAATTATTTTGAAAGCAATAATAAATTTAGATGAGAGTTAAGAGAACAATATATTCTAATTAACTTTGTTTTTAAATAATATTGAAAGAAAGCTTACAATTTAGTTAGCGATGAAATAAGAAAATTCCCAAGTGTGGTAAGTAATTTAATCGTATTTCAAGGTTCATCCCTTGCAGCATTGAGTTTTTTATATCGTATTGAAACTTTAAATTTAAAAATCTATTACTAATCCAAATGAGACGATTTAACATCGATAGAGCGTATGAATTGTTAATTCATCTACAATAAAATTTCAATAAAGTTTTGCAACTTGTCTCTTCTGTTAATCTTAGTAACTTGTAAAAAAGTTAAGATTTAACTGAAAAACTTTATTGAGATTTTACTGCGCCTATTCTGTTAGTTGCAATAAATAAATGCAATTTTAACAAAATTAAAAATAAATCTTGACTTTATTAAATGTTGTTCAAATTTGCAAATCTTTTCTTCTTTTGCAAATGTATTTCGAAATTTTAAAAGCGCAGGTTACTCAACTAAAAAAGTATCAAACTTAAAATATTTTGACATTCATTCTCGATACTAAAGAAATACTAGAAATCAGATTGTTATTTTTTAATGGCCATGATAATTTTTCTATTTTATGTTATATAAATGACTGAATAACTCAAGTAATTGGTTTCCATGATATTTACTTATTTTTTTGATAGCCTTGTAAATTTTTCGTTTCATTTTATTTAATTACACACTATAATTTCAGCTAAATCAAAACATAACAAAAAGTGCCGTATTAAAATTAAATTACAACATTTTTCATGGTATTTATTATTTATTTTTGGCCTCAAAACATAAAATAATATACTTTGTTTGGGCAGTTTTATCAATTTTTGTATTTTTTGTTACTTCTCTTTTGAAAAAATATCCGTTGAAATAGTTGTCACTATTATTTTTAAAAATTATTGTATTTGAAATAAGAATAAATGAGAATTATCGAATCGAATAAAGATATGATTGAACTGAAATAAAAATAAATATAATTACTAAGAGATTTTTTTATGCAGAATAGTTATAGGTAAATTGTTTATAAATGGTGGATTTTCAGAGATAAAAAGCTTTGAGTCAATAATTATCACAATGCCATATTAACATATCAATAAATATATTTATCTACAATGAGTAGAATAAATTTTTTTATAAATATTAAATCAAGTCTATATATAATAAATTTACTATTATAATTTATACGAATTACCATATACTTATGACTGTTACAACCAGAACGTGCTTTATCATTTGCGTCTTATTAATAAAATTACATTGTATTATATTTTTATTGTTTTCAAGAGATTTACAAAAGCCTCTCTATTAGAATTTGTTTGTTTGAGAAACGCATAAAATAATCGTGTGTATAATATAATTATTAACTAAAATAAAATAAAATAGAGTAATGAATAAAAAATAAAAAATCGTCTTCGTTTCTTCGTGAATAGGTTGAACAACTAAAATGTGAAAGGGGACAAATTAAGTGATGGTATGAATGGATCGGCAATTGATGACTCCTACGAGGAACTTTGCTACATTTTCCATTTCGTTCTTGAAGTAGATGTTAAGAATTATAAGAGTATGCGGGTAAATGGGGTAGGTTTCAATGATCTGTATGATTTGCAGGGTGCATTGAGAGAGGTGGAGACGAACATAAATAACACTCAAAGTCAAGACGCTTAGCTCGTTCGGTGATGGCATTGAGGGAGTTAAGTTGGTGATTTTTCAGAATTTAGGGTCCAGGTTGTTCAAAATTTCTGGTATCTTGGCTTCTTTGACTATAAAATTAAGCCTTGCTACCCAATTGAATTTGACTTGGTATTGAGGGTTTTTGTTAGGTTTATCCGGTTAAGAAATCTTAGATTTTTTAGATCATTGCTGAGTCTTTTAAAGACTTAAGCATATGTCATAAATTAAAATATGGTTATAATAAAAAAAAATATTTTTTTGACAAAAGGTTTTTAATGGCTTGCTGATAAAGATAATTCGATGTTTTATAGTATATAAACAATAATTTGTTTTTATCCATTTTTTGAATGGTATAAGATTACATACTTTTGATAACAAAATCTACTTTTAAATGTTTAATGAAAAAATAAAAAAATAAATTACAAGACAAAGAAAAATTAGAAATAATGCGAAGAAACTGTATTTAATTTTTATAATTCATACAAATATAATTAATTTTTTTGATAATAACTGTATTAAATGTATGATTGTTTATAACTGAGGATAGTTTATTTTTGTCAGACTAATTAATAAAACAATAAAATTTCATTTTATCTTTCTCTAACAATAAGCTTGAAAATTTAAACATGTTTTATATTTATTCTCGACATATTTATATTTTTTGTCTATATGAATTATTATAACAATAATAAAATTTTAAATGTTTCAGAAACATCTGCTGATTCTCCTAAAAGTCAATCTAATTCGTCAATACCTAAAAACAGTAACAATAATAGTGAAAATTATATGAATAGTAAGGATGAGGTAAGTAATATTAAAAAAATGTTTATGAAAATTATTTTATATTAATTTAAAAAATACTTGTTTTAGTGTGCCAACAAAAATCAAGTTTTGGCAAGTATTTCATCTGATATCGATTTATCAACTTCAACGAAAAATGATACAATATTACCTGGATGGTTATTTGAACGATTATGTCCTGTTTTACTATATCATTTAGCTAGCAATTCGAGATCAGAAAAAGAAGGTTGCATTTCATTACCTAATAACTATCACGAAATGCATAGTCATGAATATTTTGAAGAAGAATCACGGGATATGGTCCAAGGTAAAATTGAAATTTTTTTAAAAAGAGTTTTCAGAAATCTATAATAATGCAATTGTCTTCATAGCGTAACTTTTAAAATAATTTTCTCTAATATTTTTTAAATCGCATTTCTCAAGGGATTTTATCGAAGATGGTACTCTCATTATTTATTCGATTAACTAGGTCAAGTTTAAAAATGAAAGAAATCGGTCGATTAGTTTAGAAATAAGCGTGTAAAATTTACAAAATATCAAAATACGCTATTTCGATTTATTCTCTATTTAATAACTTTGGAATGGTAGAAATTAATCGTCTTCTGTAAAGGTGATATTATTATTGATACAATAAGTTTTAAATTACATTTTTTATATTGTCATGATTTTTACACGCTTTTTATTAGCTTCACTTGTATGTCAGTATGTCAGTATGTAATTCTCCGTGGGTAATTTGCGTGCCTGCGGCCTTCCTTGGTTCTGGTAGCCGTTTCTCAGGCTCCCTCTCCGAAATCGAACTCTGATTCCCCGTATTTATAATATTTATAAATAATTATTTTATTCTCACTAATCAATAAATTACTTACTGAAAATTTAATTTAATAAAAATAATAATTTAATTAATTAATCATTTAATAATTCAATAAAAATAATAATTATAATAGTTATAAATACTTTTATCATAAGATTTAACTTATAAAAACTAAAAAGTAAAAAATAAATAATAGTTTAAAAAAACTAAAAACACGCTTTTTATAGAAAACCAAACTAAAAAATAGAAAATAAATTTAAATTAAGAATAGTGTTAAAAATTTCAATAAATATAAATTAATAATAGTGTAAATAAAAAAAATGTATTTTATTTTAAAAAAAGCGTGGGGTGCATGGTGTCAATAGTTATAAATATTTTATTGACAGATATGAGTAGAGTGATTATCATTTTGATAATATCTTAAAAAGCACCCCACGCTTTTTTTAAAAGCGTGTTTTTAGTTTTTTTAAACTATTATTTATTACGTTTTTTATTGACTTTAAGTTGATTGTAATAGTTCTATAATGCGAAGAATGTACTATTCTAATAGAGCATAAATATTATATATTCACATTTATAATAGTATTGTTTAATAAATAAATTCACATTAATAGAATTTAGAATTTAAGGAGCAAATTTTTATTTTATAATCAGAATAGTATCCAAGAAAAGCACAGAAATGAAAAGAAATACACGTATTCTCAAGACAAAAATCGTAAAACAAAATCAAAATCAAATTACTGTTTTCCTTTAATCTCACCTAACATAAAATATAAGTCGAATACTTTACTTTTAAAAATGCTTATTAAAATCTGGGAATTTATATCATGTGGCAGTTCTGTCCAAAGTCGAATTTTAATAAAAATCTACACGAAATTATGTAGATTTGACTATTGGAATTAAATAGTGTATTGATAATTTTTTGTTTTTGATAACTAAAGACCATAACGTTAATAATTAAAAATTTATGAATTATTTCATTGTCATTTTTAATTATTATTTATCAATTCATTTCTAGTGTGGGTTTATGCAACGATAAGTATTGTAGTAATCAGTTTATGTGGATTACTTGGAGTTGCCGTTATTCCCGTAATGGGTAAAAGTTATTATCATCAATTAATACAATTTCTTGTTGCCCTTGCTATTGGTACTTTGTGTGGAGATGCACTTATACATTTATTACCTCATGTAAGTTTTTTTTTTTTTTTATTTTTTAAGAATGAAAATTATAATAAAATTAATATTGTTTAATTCTACTGTTTTATAGGCAATGATGGCACCTCATAGTCATGATGAAGGTAATACAGTACATGTTGAAATCAATAGCGAAGAATCACATAATTCAAATATGTGGAAAGGTTTAGTTGCCATGATGGGATTGATAATGTTCTTTTTTATGGAAAAGGCTTTGTCAATGATTTCCGAATGGCGAAAATATCGTCAAAGAAAAAATAAGGTAATTGTTTTGATCGTTTGCATCATTAACTATATTAAGCATTTCAAGGATATATTAGCGAATAAACTTAATTAAAATTTTTTTTTCAATTTATTTCTTATTAAAAATTCATGTGCTAACGATTTTATTCAATGTAAATTAGTTTAAAATTACAAATTTATTCACTAATACTTAAAAATAATTCTTACAGTTTTTAAATAACATTTTTATTTTATATTTTAATTGGTAATTCAGCAATAAATTATGAATTGTTTTGGTTACAATAACAACGATTAATTATAGCGAATCTAAGATTTATTGAGCATGAAATTTTATTTATTTTTCTTCTGTCCCAACAAAATTTTAATTTTACTGTATAAATTAATATTGATAAAAAAAATTTTTTTTTATTAGTTACCAACACGAGTACGTGTCATGAGAGAACCAGAAGGCGTAAAAACTAGTCCAGTTGGTGAGAAATTATGTAAACATAAATATTCGTCATATCCATATTGTTATGGTGAAATAACTACTGAAACTCGTGATAATCATCATGAACATCATGAACACTATGACAAAGAGCGGTTACCGTCAATTGAAGAAGCTAAGCCATTAACATCTGATCCTACCAATCAATTACCTAAAATAATAACAGATGACTTAGATAAAAACAATCACGATAACTGGGCTATTGATGATCATAAAGTTAATAATACCCACAAAAATATTGATAAAGAAAATTTAGATAACCCACAAGTCGATGAACGTGAAAGTTATACTGTTATTATTCGTGAACATGAAAATAAACATCACGGGCATACACATTCTCATGGTAATTTATGGTTTATTTTTTTTTATGAAGTTTTCATGAGAGTTATAAGTTTTATTGTTAATTATTATTATTTAATTTTCAGGACACGTTCATGCAGCGCCTGATTCAATGTCGAGTGTAGCATGGATGGTAATAATGGGTGATGGTTTACATAATTTTACCGATGGTATGGCAATAGGAGCGGCATTTTCGGCAAATATTGCTGGTGGTTTTTCTACCGCAATAGCTGTTTTTTGTCATGAATTACCTCATGAATTGGGTGATTTCGCAGTACTTTTAAAAGCAGGAATGAGTGCTAAGCAAGCAGTATTTTATAATTTATTATCATCAGTGCTATGTTTATTTGGCATGATTTTTGGAGTATTGTTGGGTGCTATGCCATCAACTACCAATTGGATTTTTGCAGCTGCCGCTGGAATGTTCATTTATATTGCACTTGTTGACATGGTAATTATTAAAAATTTTTCATCAGTTTGCATCTTTTTTCTAGTTTAATCAACAAAATTTTAAGTAACTTGAGATTTTTATATAAATTCAATCTTATTAATTTGAATAATTGTTTTTTTTTTTAGATACCAGAATTATCTTCTGGACATTCAGAAGAAGGCGGTTCACATTGGCAGTGTTTATTGCAAGCACTTGGTCTAATTACTGGTTTGGGAATTATGTTAATAATTGCTCTTTACGAAAATGACCTTAGAAATATTTTTAGTGATTAGTTTATCTAACCATAATTAATATAAATAAAATAAAATAGGACAATTTTTTGAAATGACTAAACAGAGTAAATAAAGCAGAAAAATTCGAATGACAGAAAAACGATGTCTCCAAGTTACATGACTGAAACATTTATAAATACTTATTTAATGTATTTAAAATACTTACAATTTTATTTTGTAAGTATTCTATAGTTTTGTAGGACGACTTAAAATTTTTTTCATCACGATTTTACTAATATATTATGCAAACCACAATTGTAAATTAATCTAAATAGTGAAAAAAATCATTATTTTAAAATGGAAAAGAAGAAAAAAAATAATGTATTTTTTTTATTTCTATTTAAAATTAGCTTATAAATTTATATTTAAATATTAAAGATAGTCTTTGTCTATATATTCGTATTAATTAATGAGATAAGATGATAAAATAAGTGTTGATTTATTCATATACATACATGTTTTTTCTTTTTTTGTGTTCTTATTTTGTACTTTAATACCTCAATGTTCGATATTATAGTATGAAAATTAAACTTTGTATACCGCTAAAATAAGCAAACATTTTTAATAATTCATTATAATATTTTTTTAATTTAGGTAATACTAAGTTTGAAGATGAGTTTTCGTAAAATATTTTTTTAATTATTTTGGTTGACAAAAGTTACATACTCGCTACATTTAATGGTATAACTTATATCTAATAAAAAAAGAAAAAAAATTATTTAGTCCATAAATTTAACTGTATTTTCGACAAAAATATTAAAACTTACTTTATAATTTTTTAAGATGTTTATTTTTGAGAATTTACAAAATAAAAATGTTAATAACATTAAATTGATTTATCTTAATTATTGAAGAACATTTTTTGTAAAAAATATATAAATGCATTAATGCTTTCAGTCAATTATATTACAAGTTATTTAGAAAATCCGATCTTGGTATTCGTTATTTACCGGAGGCGCAACAGTAACATTAGTTTTGTTCTGTAATCGTTGAGAAGCCATAGTATATTCAAACATACTGTGATTAAGTTGAAGCAATTTGTTCGATAAATCACATGGCATTGGATCTGTCCAAAAAAAGTCGTGATTTAAAGATGTATCTGCATCCAATCGTTTATTTGGATCAATAGTAAGAAGATTATCTATAAGATCTAATGCGTACGGGTTGTCGATGTAATTTTTTAATTCGTCTTTCACCTGAAACGTTAATTACAATTTAGTTCAACTCAATGACAAAAATATTGAAATTCTTACTTTTCGTTTTTTCCTTTGAGGTAGTTGCATTGTGTTAAATAACCTAAGCTCTTTTACATCTTCCCACACACTTGGTGTAATGGAACCGCATAAATTTGTTATTAAAAAAAGCTGATGTTGTTCCGATTGACCTCGCATTATTGGAACCCTTGTGTCAAATTAAAAAAAAAAAAATTTACTTTCATATACTAAGTTATATTGAATAAATCTTTCTAATTTATTTTTTTAATTTTTATTATCATAAAAAATAAGGCCATTCGGCATTCGCCAAGATGAAAGGTAGATTTCATATAATCCATGATTTTAATAACAATATTATAAATAATTATTATCCCTCAATTATGGCTTCAGTTATTGATACAATATTCAAAATTATAAATAATAGTTCATTTTAATTTTCCGTTTTTCAGAGACTTTTGACTTGAGAGAAGAATTATATGAGTTATCGTGTCTACAAACCGCGTTATATAATGTGCTTATTTGAAACTGATTTAGATGACATTCAGCTTCTCATATTTTTGTTGTAATTATTGAAAAATAAATTTATTATAGGTGAAATTAAATAGAATTTCATAAGCTTTGAAACGAAATGCAGAAAAACGACCTATCATCTCTCAATGCAAAGTTATTCTTAACTATTTAATGGATTTAGCTCATTTTTGAACTCATTATAGTTAATTGTTTACAGAATAAGTCTACTAAGTTTCATGAAGATTCATTAAGAATTGTGGGAGTTATCGTGTCCACCAATGTCATTTTTAAGCCTTACTCGACTAAATAATTAATATAGTAACGAAATTCTATGTGAATTTGGACACAATGGCCAATGCAATAGATAAATTTTATGAAATCTACCTAAAAAAACATAGTTAAAATATTACCGTTTCCACATTTCAGCCATTATACATCCGATTGCCCATAGATCAATAGGCGGTCCATAATTTTCATCTCCAAGAAGTAGTTCAGGTGCTCTATACCATAATGTTACCACTTGCTCCTTACCGAGGTTTCCAGAATTTTTATCACTAAATGGTCTTGCCAAACCAAAATCAGCTATTTTTAAAATTCCATTTTTTGTAATGAGTATATTGGACGGTTTTATATCTCTATGTAATATCTAAAATTAATTTATTATTTTTAATATGTCGGTGCTGTGATAATACGTTTATTAAGAAGCAAATCTCGAGATGCTAATAGATGTGGAAAATTTGTAATTAAAAATATATCAATTTTACTTACTTTATTAACGTGAATGTAATAAATACCACTTAATAACTGTTTAATAAATGTTTTTATTTCGGGCAAACTAAATTTGACAGCCTTGTTTGATAGTAAGCCATTGAGATCATGCTCACAGAAATCGAATATAAGATAAAACGTCGATGGATATTTTCCATCTGTCGCTATAAACAGAAATTTATAAATTTGTAAAACAGTAATAAAGAAAATTCTCTTATATTAAACTAATAATTAAAAAAAGTTAATACTTTTTTAATGAAAAATATTTTGAAATAACAGAGAGCTTAAAATCAATAGAAAATATTTTTTTATTCAAAGATCGGTACTAAATAGATATATATTTAGTTTTTCTACTTAGTTTAAAACCACTTTAAATGTTATATTTTGTTATTAAAATAAAATAAAATTTTTGAATTAAAAAAAAAAATAAAATTTTGACGACGTCTCTTTTTGATTTTAAGCTCTTCGATTATATTAGAAAGTTTAATAATAGAAAAAGTGAATAAAATAAAAAATACATTTGACGTGATGCATAATATATTAATACAAAACTATCTGTCATACGGAAATTGATTGAAACATAAATAATGGATTTTATGAATTTTTTACACGAAATGTATTTGCTGAAAAAAATTTTTAAATAAAATAATTATCAAGATACTGAAATTGAGAGACATATATGATTTTTAGAATATTATTTATAAATAAATTACAAAAAAAAAAATTTTGTCAAAAAATTCCATCTTTAGAAGCTCTAAAAAATTATCAATGCAATTTTTTAAAAATAATTTTCTAGATCTGGTTTATTTTTAAAGAAAAATCTAAAAATTATCAAGTGCTTGATAAAGTAAAAGATCCAGTTATTTATTGACACTGGTCTAATTATTGATACTTGAAATTTTATTTTAATTGCAAAAAACAAATTAACTCTAATAAATTAATAAAATAATTTTTGAATTATAAATTTTAAGAAAATTGGTTTTTTGAGAACATTTAATTTTTTTAATTAAAATAGAATTGCAAGTGTCAAACAACTAGGCCAGTGTCAATAACTGGATCTTTTACCTTAATTTCAGTCTCATTAATTATCAGGGCATTTCAAAATATTTGAATTAATAATAATGTAAAGAAAAATAAAACTTAAAAAAATTAATCACAAAATGATAATTATAAAGATTCTATATTAGAGCCAAGCCCCAAAAACAACAGATATACAACAGTAATTATTTAGAGTAAATTTTATATTATATAATACCTTTTGATTTACAAATTTCAATTAAATTAATGATGTTCTCATGTTTGAGCAGTCTTAAAATTTTCGTTTCTCTCAAGGAACTGATGGGAAACTGTAAAAATTTTGTGATCGTTTCAAAATCTTTGTTACAATCTAAATTTTTACATTATCAATGCAGTTATAACAGACCCCATTGTCTCCCAGGTTGTGCATTAATATTTTTTTCATTGCAACAAATTTATTGTTTTGTCGATGTCTCGCTTTAAATACTTCTCTGAAAATATTTAAAATTTATTTAATATTAAAATTAAGAGTAAAAACTACAATAGTTTAGTTAAATTTTTTTTTAGTTATTACTTACCCATATGTACCCTGTCCAATTTTAATGATTTTTTCATAGTTAGAAGATGTATTGAGGCAAGACTCGTATTCTTGAATATATTGATATTTTTCATATTTATTGAGATAATTCATACTCATAGAAAAATATGAATTTATTAGAGAATAAAATTAGATTACTCAATTATAAAATCATTTTTTGTACTTTTAAAAATAAAAAAAATTTTTCAATTTTTTGAGGTTAAGATTTACGATGGTGAATATATTCGCTCCTAAAATATATACAAGAGTAATAACTATAATAATAACGTTCGATTAAAATTTTTTATTCATAACAACTAACTAATAATTTACACTTGAAATATTTTTTAAATAAAAACACAACAAAATTTCAACACAATATGGTTATCGGAAACTACCTGTAAACTTGAAACTTGAAATATCTATGACAAGAGTATACCTATAGAAGCAGAATCTATACTTGTAGCTTGTAGCCCACATGGTTGAGACAGTTCTACTCCGTTTATACGTTTGACTGAATCAAAATGATACTGTATTCAGCAGATACTAAACAATTTTTTTATTTAATTAAATTAACACTAAAAAAAATGTGTTTAAAAAATTACACTTATAGTTTTTCAAATTTTTTTATGATTTTTTTTTTTAATCAAATGTAGTTCTGAAAAATTCCATATTCAGAAAAATTTCGATATTCAAACAGTTAATTGAAAATTTTAACAAAGAAAATTATATCTCTTAAACTATAATATAAGATTGACGTTTTTGTTATCCGCAGAAAAAAATTTTGGAGTTAGAAAAAGTTAGTTTCCTTTTTAGTAGATCTTCGCCCGACCAGTAGATCATTAATTATATCATTATATTATTAATATTATATCTGATTTAGGCACTGCTGGTTCTGGTTAACAACAATCTTAGATTAAAAAAAAAAAAATAAAAAAAGGATATGTAACTCTGCATATGTAGTCGTAATTCATAATTGTATTATATTCTTTTTTAATTACTATAGCTACTAAGTATCTGATAATTATAATAATTACTCTAATATTAAAATTTAGTTTATATAGAGCCAAATATTAATTCAAGTATCAAACACTGTCAAAATTTTCAACTTTGTAAAATTAAGTAGCCCTGTCATTGGCCCTTTGGGCCGTTGGGCTTATGTAATAGAAAATAAATAAATAAATTATAAATAATTTAAATTCAAGCTAAATTTTATAAACAAATAATTTTTAAATTCAGGAAGCTGAAAAATCATTCTGTCGCTTTGAAATTTTAATCTCTTAAGGTAAAAGATCCAGTTATTGACACTTGCAATTTTATTTTAATTATTAAGATAATAAAATAATAAATTAGTTATAAATTTAAGATAATTAGTTTTTTGAGACTCATTATTTTTTTTAATTAGAATACACTTGAAAGAAATACAACCAGGCCAGTATCAATAACTGGGTCTTTTACTTTATCCCCGATATAAAAATGAACATTTTGGGTTTAGGTAGCAATTTATGTCTCAAAAAATAGATTTTTTAAAGCCAAAATGTGTTTTTTTAGATCATGAAATGCTGTCTCAGGCGATAAATTGATCTAAATTATCATTTAAATGTTAAATTCGTTAATAATAATTTTTGTTATTTATTTGGAGTTAATATAGATGCGCAAATGGAGACTTTTTTTTGGCTATTGTGCGCATTATAGATAAACAGATTTTTTTTTCAGATTTCAGAAAATTTTTTATTGATATAATAAGGCGTTACAATGTTTTTTAATGGTATAGTTAATCATTATTACATTATTACATATAATTTATTATTTTTATTTACAATCCTGTCCATTGGACTTGGCTAGTATATGATATCAATACAATCTAATTTTAATATGGTACTTGCAATATAGTTTAGTTTGTTTTTAAGGAAAAAGTTGCAAAAAACCTAATAAGATATATCTTATAGATAAACATACATGAGAATTCCACTGGTCAGGTTGCAATGCTATGAATTAATGTTAAAGATGTTTTTTCAAAACCATCGTTTTTCAGATTTGTTTATATTCATTCCCGAAAACCGTCAGTATTAATTAATCGTCGATATTTGTCACATTAAAATACTTTAAGAGCTAATGATTAAATTCAATTATCAGCAAGCCATCAATTGCTTAAAGTTTTTTCATTCCTTGACTTTTTTTTATGTAAATTTTAAACTTATTAATCATACTATATGTATTTTTTTGAGTCAAAGTAAATTTCATAATAAAGAAAAAAATTACCCATTATGGCTCATGTTTGTACTCAGTAATACATATCAGAACCACTGCATGTCTGTTTAAGCCGTCAGATGTCGTGAATCAAGTGATATGAAATTAATAAATTATTTCTTTCATTTTTATTGATCATTTTGATATTTTAATTACATTTTATAATAAGGTTTTACGTTCATGGTATTAGATTATTTGAAGGTATACTAGTGGTTTATTGTAGATTGGAGTATATGTTAATATTTAGGGATTAAGTTGACAAACAAATTACTAAGCATGATCATTAGTTTACTTAGATCTATAATCTTTGAATTATTGAGGAAACGGAGTTTTTATAAACGCAGGAGAGACGGTACAATTTTACTATTTATATTCTATACTTAGATAGATAGATAGATAGATAAAAAATTTTATTTGGCTCTGGAGCCTAAGCTCCCTCAAAGCCATCAATATTTAAATTACATTGGTTTACATAGGTTACAAGATTACTTAACTAATTAAAGGTTTACAATTAGATTTAATTTTAAATGTAATAAAATCCAGCTGGATCATTTAATACAAACAAATTTACAAACAAATACAAACAAATAATACAACAACTAATGTTTATTAATCAATCATAACACTTGAATCATTTTATACGTATGAAAAATGTGGTGGCCCTGAAAAGGGCCGTTTTGTTTTTGAAGAAATGAGTAGTAGAATTTTTAACCTCCAAAACCGTAGAGAGTGCGACCTTGACGTTTCAATGCGTAGACAACATCCATAGCAGTGACAGTCTTCCTTTTAGCGTGTTCAGTGTAAGTTACGGCATCACGGATGACGTTCTCAAGAAAGACCTTGAGGACACCTCGAGTTTCTTCGTAGATCAATCCAGAGATACGTTTGACTCCACCACGACGGGCCAGACGACGAATAGCTGGCTTAGTGATACCTTGGATGTTATCACGAAGAACTTTACGATGACGCTTAGCTCCTCCTTTACCCAATCCTTTTCCTCCCTTACCACGGCCAGTCATGGTGATACAATGTACGTCTAGAGTTTATTACACGAAGGCTAAACAAGACTTGATGCCAAAAAATTTTTGGAGCGCTATTTTATCCGTTTTGTGAACGTTTCTCCCACTACTAAGTTTAGACCAATCAGCAATAAATCCCCACTTAATTTTCCCACTTTCTCAAGACGAACCAATTAGATTCATGGAAACTCTGAGTTATCCCCACTCTTTTACTTCGGGCCAATCAGAACGATAGAATTTTTTTCTTCTCCCACCAAGAGTAACGAAAGTGGCGCCATCTGGTTGAAAGTTGACAAAAAGGGAAATTTCGAGGTCGAAATTTTATTCTGAGTCTGTCTCTTCTGCTGACAAGTGTAACTTAGCTCTTACTAAGTCGTAATGGCACGTACCAAGCAAACTGCGCGTAAATCTACTGGTGGTAAAGCTCCACGTAAACAACTCGCTACCAAAGCCGCTCGTAAGAGCGCGCCAGCAACTGGAGGAGTCAAGAAGCCCCATCGTTACCGTCCAGGTACCGTGGCTCTTCGTGAAATTCGTCGTTACCAGAAGAGTACGGAGTTGTTGATCCGTAAATTACCATTCCAACGTCTCGTCCGTGAAATCGCTCAGGACTTCAAGACCGATCTACGATTCCAGAGCTCTGCAGTGATGGCCCTCCAGGAAGCTAGCGAAGCTTACCTCGTTGGTCTTTTTGAAGATACTAACCTTTGCGCTATCCACGCTAAACGTGTCACCATCATGCCCAAAGACATCCAATTGGCTCGTCGTATCCGTGGAGAACGTGCCTAAGTCATTCACCTGTTAAAATTCTTAAAAATAAACGGCCCTTTTCAGGGCCACAAATTTTTCATACGAAGAAAATCGAAGTTCTTTTATGAATGAATGAGCAATAAAAATACATAATGCTTTCATTCATGTATGTCTATGTAATCTATATTGAAATAATTTTTACGGAACAATTGATGAAAAGCTTACAATACTATTATCCATACTTGTTACTATCATTTACAATCTATAGTCATCATCTACAAACAAATAAGCGATCTATTAAAAGCATCAACTATTAGTAATCTTACATTTCTGTTCAGTTTAATGAGGTATTGTGAAAGATCACTATTCTTACAATATTTCTCAATTTTTGAATACGCGTAGGGTAAATACACCAGTTGTTGACCGGTCACCAATTAGTTGACCGATGTATAAAAAAGTTAATTAATTAATATTTTACAAGGGTTTTTTTTTTTCTTAAATTATTAAAATAAAAAAATATGGCATTTAATCATCATAATAAAAAATTACGCAATTAATTGCGCAGTGATTATAGCTTTAAAAAAATATTCAGAGTTTGTTTACAACGCAACCAGCCATAAAGCGGTTAAAAATAACTAGCGTACAATTGGAGAGTGAGTGCATTTTATCATTAATTTAGTGATATTTATCGGCATAATATAAAATATTTTAGTTTTATTATGTTAATTAAAGATCAGATTCCAACTTTTTTGAAAAAATAAAGGTAAATTATAAGTTTTAATATTATTTTAAGACCGGTCAACTATTGGATCCGTCAGAAGCCCTTTACCCAGTAAAAAATTCATTCGGTCATTTATTAAACCCTCTGATTTTATCACAATCCAATTAATGACCGTATATTTATAATACTAACTTCTAAACCTCAAAATTAAATCTGTCAAGTGTTTAAAGTACTTTAGTCATTCAATATTTTGTAAATAATATTATTATCATTATAAAATGTATACTTATAATTAAAATAATACTTAAAATATTTTTTGATTATTAAATTTTATTTTATTCTAATTTTTTTAGTGAACGGTTACATCAAAGAACGAATTATTAGAAGAAAGAATTGCTAAGCAATTAAAAAAATAAAAAAAAAAGAGTTACAAGCTAGTAAAAAAAGCTTTAATTGAAAAAAAGAAAAAGAATAAAAAAATTTCAAGTGAATCAGAAAAATTATCATCATCAAAATGAATTTGTGATTATTAGTGACCTAAAGAAATGTGACTTTATGTTAATTATTGCTATAATTTATATTATTTTATAAAAAAGTACGATTTAAAATTATATTGTATGTTTAGTTTTGTTAAAGATCTCGTTAATACTTCAAAAGTACTGCATAAATTTAATTACATAAATGTAGTTTACAAAATTACTTATAATTATTCGAGCGGTCAATTAATTGGAGAACGGTCGGTCATTAATTGGGTTTCTTCGGTCAATAATTGGTGATTTTAGTATTTCAACATTCAAATAACAAAATTAATATAATTTAAGTTAATTTTGATTATAAATAGTTATTAATTATTATTAAATAAGTATTTAACTTTAATTTTGTAAATTTTTATTATAAATAGTTATTAATTATTATTAATTAAGTATTTAACTTTAATAAAATCCATTACAAATTGTTTTTAGTAGGTTAATAGATTTTTTATAGCTTAGTACAGAAAAAGAAAACCTTAATCGGTCAATAATTGGTGCATTTACCCTACTTTTAAGTGTCCTCTTTACAAATAATTTTTTTTAAGGTAATTTTCGAAATATTAGCAATTGAAAATCGTACATCTAACATGTATTCCCTATTCTGACCGTAGTTGGAGTGAACATTTTATTAAATAACATCCAAACTTTTCTAAGAATTTTTTTGAAAAACTGAGAATATTTAATTGAAGTTATAGCAAGTATTTTCTATCAAAAATAACATAAACGAGCGGTATTCATTTTTTTATAAAAAATATTTGAAGTTACGAGCGACTTACGATATTTTACGTGAGTGGAAGTAAGTGAGCGATAATCTGTAAAGAGGGGCAGCACTAGTGCGTGAGAAAGAAACCAATAGCCATAACCATATTGGTGTCTGTATTTGCCACAGTACCTCCTTAAAGTGACAATAATCTGAAATTATATAACAAATATTGATCAAATAAAAATTGTAACAAACAGATTCTGGCTTTGCAAGATTCTCTCTTGCAGAATTATTGAGCGAAGGTCATAGCTTAAAGCAGACAGCACATATTTTAGGAAACCCGAAATTTTTTCCAGTGAATTTGCTATACCGTCTACTGAACAAGATATAAGAACTTTAAGCCCCGGTCGTAGATGTTTAATGTCACTTAAGTGTTACAAGTATACGAAAATCGAATAAATTAAGGGGTTACGGATAGTCAGAATGTTCAAAAAATTGTTTTTTTTTGCATTTTCTTTAAGTATAATATCTTAAAAATATTCTCTGAAAATTTGAAATGAATTCGACAAATACTTTTCGAGTTATTCGACAATTAACAAAGGACTCTCAGGCACTTCAGAACGCTCGAGGGCAGGTAGTTAGCAGCAGCTGTAAGCAATCGGGTTCTATTGTCATGAATGAATTACAACTTTGATACAATACCTTAATCTATAAATACTCTTCCATATATTTCTATAATTTTTAGGTAGTATAAGTGTAATTTGAAAATAATTATGGGAAACAATTTCAGCAGTTCTGACGTCACAGCAGGCACTTCTGAGTACTCCAAAAAAATGGATTTTGCATATTATTTAGTAAACTTATATTAGTATTGGCAAACATTTTTTCCGGTTACAAAAATCCAGCAGACAGCGAAAATATGTTGCTAATATGCTTATACGTATGCCGTGCTGGATGAAAGGTTAAAAGCTGTCTGTCAGATTTTTGTGAGCGAATAAAATATCTACCAAGATTAATATAAGTTTAAAACGGTTTAATAAATAATATAAATTTCAGATTTATTCAAATATTTTTGAAATTCCACTTTTTTGGAGTATTCAAAAGTGTCTGCTTTGACGTCAAATCTGCAAAAATTGCCAACCATAATTATTTTCCAAGTACTAAAATGTGTTGTCTATGTAAACTAACTCTCAGATTATTGATATCCAACAATCGACAAAAAAAATTTATAATGGTTAACATCAATAAAGATTGTTAATCAGTTATTGTTTATAGTAGAATTATATTAATTTATTTAGAAAATTTAACGATTGCATTCTTTAATATTGATTAATAAATGCATGAAGTATTCAAATTTTAAAATACAGTGAGAAAAAAAAATTTTTGTCCAGAAAAAAATTTCTTGACTCAAGAATCGTTTAAAATAAATTTTGATTTTTTGACGAAAGAATATCAATATTTATCATGATAATAAAATATTGGCTATAATTTTTATAGATAGAGAGATTTAAACAAACGAATAGATTCACTTGAATTAAACAAAAAATAATTCGATTAATTTAATCAATTCTTGAGAAAAAAAAATATATTCTTGAAAATGATCAAGAATATATATTCTTGTGACAAGAAAATTTTCTCAATAGTAAGCAGTACTTTTTTTTCTCAGTGTATGTGACATCAATACAAAATAAAAGTTCTAGGTTAATAATAGCTACATATACACATCATATTCATCGTATCTCTTTGCAAAGATTGAATTAGACACATTAAATTATTGCAACATAAATTTAAAATTAAATCTTTTTTTAAATAACATACAAATTTCTTTTTCCAACATGGTTATTATATATAATGCATTTATAATAATTAACAAAATACAAAAGTTATCGAAAATTGTTGATGAATATGTTGTTGTTAAATAATTTTATTCAGTTAATTACTCTCCTCACATAATTAAAAAAATCAAATAACTTAATAAAAAATAATTAATTTATACTAAATTGTAAATTATCCATATCAAAATGTTAAATGTTACTCAAGTTTGAGAATATTCCAATGAGGTTAGCGAGGATTTCTTGCTTTTACCGACTAATATATTTGTTTTCATCAAAATACATCTATTAATTTATAAATTATAAAAGGGAGCATGCAAATATTAATGTATTAATTTATTTAAAAAACAAATTTATATGATAATTTATTGTAATAACATTAACGTTAGAAAGTTACTGATGATATATCAACAAAAACACTTTAAAAGTTAATAATTAAATAACATGTGAGTTAAAAGAAAATAAACCTTATAATTATAATAAATCAAATATTAAATTATTATTACTGTAGTTAATTACTATTGCTGCTGTATATAAATATATTTATATATACTTATTTGCGATATATTATTTTGAGGTTATGTATTACATAAATAGTAAAACGAATGTTATTGATCGACATTAGGAGTAGATATGTGAATTTTTTTTTAGCTAAAATTCATTTATTTAAAATAATCTTTCATGATCATTATAATCACTTTAAACATATTTGATTCCTCAATATAAATTAATGTACAAGTTTCACACAGAAGTTTTGTACAATTCATTATATGTACAAGATTATCATAAGTATTGTTACAATGATTAGAATTATCTATGAAGATAAAATTGTGTAGATATGAGTAATCAAGGAATTAAATAACGATATCATTGTATTGTAATGTTCATGGCACTTTAATATGTTGATTAATATCCACTTGTGTATTCGTAATAGAATTATGCTACTCCAATATTCAATTAGATTTCTTAGAGATTAAAGTATCCATTATCACTAATCATCAAATAGAAACAAATTTAAAACTACTTATCAATTAGGTATAAATTTTATATTATCTCAGTTAAATTGAGTTATCTTGATTAAAAAAAAGTATTGAACCTATGCAACTGTATATCTATATTGTATGTATATACAGATATAGTTTGTGTAATTCAACACTTTTTCAATACTTTTTTTTAATCAGGGTAATTGACTCAACTAGAAGTTTTTACGTATTGAAAAATTTGGTGGCCCTGAAAAGGGCCGTTTTGTTTTATTGGATGGAGAGATTAATTAATTTATGAGCTGCTTTTTTCAGTCTTCTTGGGCAAAAGAACAGCCTGGATGTTGGAATGTATTAATTTATTTAAAAAACAAATTTATATGATAATTTATTGTAATAACATTAACGTTAGAAAGTTACTGATGATATATCAACAAAAACACTTTAAAAGTTAATAATTAAATAACATGTGAGTTAAAAGAAAATAAACCTTATAATTATAATAAATCAAATATTAAATTATTATTACTGTAGTTAATTACTATTGCTGCTGTATATAAATATATTTATATATACTTATTTGCGATATATTATTTTGAGGTTATGTATTACATAAATAGTAAAACGAATGTTATTGATCGACATTAGGAGTAGATATGTGAATTTTTTTTTAGCTAAAATTCATTTATTTAAAATAATCTTTCATGATCATTATAATCACTTTAAACATATTTGATTCCTCAATATAAATTAATGTACAAGTTTCACACAGAAGTTTTGTACAATTCATTATATGTACAAGATTATCATAAGTATTGTTACAATGATTAGAATTATCTATGAAGATAAAATTGTGTAGATATGAGTAATCAAGGAATTAAATAACGATATCATTGTATTGTAATGTTCATGGCACTTTAATATGTTGATTAATATCCACTTGTGTATTCGTAATAGAATTATGCTACTCCAATATTCAATTAGATTTCTTAGAGATTAAAGTATCCATTATCACTAATCATCAAATAGAAACAAATTTAAAACTACTTATCAATTAGGTATAAATTTTATATTATCTCAGTTAAATTGAGTTATCTTGATTAAAAAAAAGTATTGAACCTATGCAACTGTATATCTATATTGTATGTATATACAGATATAGTTTGTGTAATTCAACACTTTTTCAATACTTTTTTTTAATCAGGGTAATTGACTCAACTAGAAGTTTTTACGTATTGAAAAATTTGGTGGCCCTGAAAAGGGCCGTTTTGTTTTATTGGATGGAGAGATTAATTAATTTATGAGCTGCTTTTTTCAGTCTTCTTGGGCAAAAGAACAGCCTGGATGTTGGGTAGGACACCTCCTTGAGCGATGGTAACTCCAGATAGAAGTTTGTTCAACTCTTCATCGTTACGGATGGCCAATTGGAGATGACGTGGGATGATCCTGGTCTTTTTGTTGTCACGAGCGGCGTTACCAGCCAACTCCAAGACTTCAGCAGCCAAGTATTCCATAACAGCTGCGAGGTACACTGGAGCACCAGCACCAACACGCTCTGCGTAATTACCCTTACGCAACATACGGTGAATACGTCCCACTGGGAATTGGAGTCCAGCACGACTGGAACGGGTCTTTGACTTTCCCTTTACTTTGCCTCCTTTTCCACGACCAGACATGTTTAATAGGTTAGAGGTAAAACTGAACGACACTAAATGATCAGAGCGAACTCTAGGGAGATTTGAAAAAAAATTTTATGTACCAACGCTTATAAAGGTTTTCGATAGGAGCATGCGTAAGATTGAGCGGCGTGGAAAAAAGTGGGGAGCGATAGCTACAATCTCATTGGCCCGCTGACTCCGATGGGTGTTTTTATTGTTATTATTATTTGTCGGAGCTCACGGACGAATGAAATTGTGTATGCTTATCCCCACTCCGTCGCAATTACGTTCCACAGATGTCCAACCTCCTGTTTTTCTCTCTTATAAAGAAAGTCATAGCCTGGTATAACACAGTTGCGCTCTAAGTACCAGATTCTGGTATAGTTTCTAATATTCTCGTAACCCTCTGATTGTCTATTATCACCATGCCACCAAAAGCAAGTGGAAAAGCCGTGAAGAAATCCGGCAAAGCCCAGAAAAACATCACCAAGTCCGACAAGAAAAACCGTAAGAAGAAGAGGAAGGAAAGTTATGCTATCTACATCTACAAAGTGTTGAAGCAGGTCCACCCTGACACTGGTGTCTCCTCCAAGGCCATGAGCATCATGAACAGCTTTGTCAACGATATCTTCGAACGTATCGCTGCTGAGGCTTCACGATTGGCTCACTACAATAAGCGATCCACCATCACCTCCCGGGAAATTCAAACAGCTGTTCGTCTTCTTTTACCCGGTGAATTGGCCAAGCACGCCGTCAGTGAAGGAACCAAAGCCGTCACTAAATACACCAGCTCCAAGTAAATTACCTTACCTCGACCAAACTTAAATCATTCAAACGGCCCTTTTCAGGGCCACCAAATTTTTCATACGTAATAAATCTTCATGTTGATACACGTTAAGGAGGTCCTTTCGCCGCCAAAGTAAAATAAAAAATATTAGATTATGAGTAAATTAAATTTTTTTCTAATAGTTGAAGTCCTTATTTATCTAATAGTGAGGTTTAAATTATACTTTACCGTACAAATTTTTGAAAAAATAAAATTTTTAAATGTTAGTATTTGTTTAGAGTCTTACGAGAAAGTCAGACGTTTGCAGTATTTCTTGAATTATACTATCAGTCATGGATTAGATGAAGTAAAAAAAACCTAAAAATTAGATTTTCGAAATATTTAGGTTTCTTTTTTTGCAATAAAATATGTCAGTTACCGAGATATTTATTGAGAAATTAATATTTTAAAATCACAAAAAATTCTCAAGTAACCTACATTAATATGGAGTCAAAATATTTGGCAACGTTGCGTAGCGCGCGAGCTTGAGACCATTCAATAAATTCAAACTAATTTATTTATTTACACTGACTGCAAAAACTTAAACGTAGTTAAGGTTATATTGTGCAAATGATAATGTAAACAACCGAAGTACAGCGTTGCCAATTCACGGACAGGTTACTAGCAGTTGATTTGAAAGAGTCAAATTAATTTTTGTATTTAACTATTTTTTTTTTTTTTTTTTTTCAAAGTTTCAACGATTAATGCCTCATATACTATTTATTATTTAATTTTAGGAATTTTTATGGGTTTTTTTATTTTAATTTATCGTATATTGACTACTACAATTGTTTTGACTCAACTGGAGCGAAAGGATTTCCTTTTAATTACCTATTTAATTGTAATTTTTTCATTCTTAGTGTGAAGATCTAGCTTCAAAATTTTCACCAATAAACTATAATCTCTAGCAAAATCCTTTAGAACTGTTGGTAATTCTAAATCAAACTCAAATAAGATTTAATTTTCTGATTAATTACAGCCGACATCAAACGCTTTCCTTCCCATGTTTCAGTACCTAAAATGTATGCTGCTTACTCAGATAATGCGTACTATAGGAAGAGTCGTGCAATGAAAATATTACACGGAGAAAATTTTATAGTAGAGTTCATTATCTAGTTATGTTATTAAAATCTATTAACTGAATTCAATAGCAGTAAATATTATTTAAATAATTAAGTAAACTATTTGAATTGTAGTATTTACCATCCTGATGGTAACTACTACTATTATGATGGTAATCAGTAATAATAACTGTTATTATTTTAATTAGTTACTACTATTATAAAAATCGTAATTCCTAATATAACCTGATGGTTATAGTTACCATCAGTAATAATAATAACTACTATCTAAGCTAGTAAAAAATATTAAAAAAATTAAGAATCTGCGTTACCGTGGATGCATTTCTGAATAAACTAAAAGCAGCTGTAGTGCACAAAAAATCGGGATTAAATTCGGATAGAATTTATATTTAAATTTTTATTTGTCTAAAACAAGTTTCAACGGCAAATTTTTCAAAAAAATTTGAAATTTCCAAAAAAATCAAAATTTTCAATTTTAAAATATTTTAATATTTCAAAATATAAAATATAAAATATAAAAGATAATTATGAGCTGTGATAGAATTTGGTATTTTACAGTAAACATTATTATAATGTAATATAATTAATGCAAATAATTTATGAAGATGATTTTTAATTATTATAAGCAATCTTTTTATCATATAACATTGCAAGTGAAACAAATTTATTCAACAAAATATTTATTAATCATAAGAAAAGTATGGTTGTTATTCAATAAAATGTTCACTCTAACTACGGTCAGGATAAGGAATATATGTTAAATGTACGATTTTTAATTGCTAATATTTCGAAAATTAGCACCGTAAGGACTATTAAAAAAAATTTATTTGTAAAGAGGACACTTGAAAGTACGCGTATTCAAAAATTGAAGAATATTGTAAGAAAAGTGATTTTGCACAGTACTTCCTTAACACATTTTTTGTGCTTATAACTCCATAATTGCTGTAGATAACGTCGTCAAGCTAGCAATAGCAGAATCTATTTTGGATGGGTATTATTAATGATTGCTCGAAATCTAAACAACCAATAAAATTTTATATAGAGCAACTAATTTAGCACCATAAATAAGATTTGTTATTTGAATAATTACTAGGTGAATGATAATAGACGAGTCCATACTAGTTTGATAAGCTTGCTATAGATCGTTTTTTTTTGTTTTATAACATTCAGAGCCATATTTATAATCTTTAAAATATCTACATGTATAAAGAATAATACGGTAAGTATTTTCTTTTTAATTTTAAAGTACTTATTGTTGAAATCATTTTTATAGCCATTGTCTTGGAATTGATGTTTGATGTGTACCTATGCGATTGAAAAAACTGTAATTCTTATTAAAAGTGCGATTAATTTAAATTTATATAAGCAAGAGGAATTTTTTATGCTTTTTTAAAAATTGTATAAATTAAATACAATATTATTCTTCAAAATAAACAAATTCCTAAATAATAAAAATAAATGATTCATCGTAACTTACTATCAAAAGATGGTAGCACTAGTCAATTTCTAAAACTTTTTGTTATATATATTATTTCACAAAAAGAATGAGATTTTAAAAATAATAAATAATAATAAATATTAGGTGAAATTTTTGAAAATCTTAATAGTCATAATTATAAGATAATAAATCAATAAAATTAAAAGAAGAGAGTAAATAATCCACCGGGTTTGAATAATAAATCTTTTTAGCTTTTTAGTTCTCTTACCTGAAAATTTAGAAATTTGTTTTTTACATTAATGTTTACTTGAGAAAAAAAAATAAAGATGTTAAAAAAAACGCTAATGTTTAATAGGCCTCCGATTAGAAATTTTTTCAAAGGAGTTCTCGAAAAGGTACCGTATATTCAATTCATATTTTATGAATTATTGTGTTTGTAAATAATTTTTTTTTTTTTCAGATAAATCCCTTCAAGAAAACTGTTTACAAGCCGATAATAATTGATAATGAATTCGGCAAATATGAAATTGTTCTACCTCAAGAAGTATCAATGAAGAAAAAAAAAATTCCAAAACATATTAGATTACCAAAATATGCCTCGTCTACTTATGGTATGCCAGAGCATGTTGATATGGAGTTTGTTGAAATAAAAAATAACCAACAAATTGAGTGCATGAGACAAAGCTGTGCACTAGCTAGAAAGATTCTCAATAGTGTTGGGCCCTTAATTAAGGTACAATTTTTTATTTTATGACTTTCAAAATAGTCATTGCATATTAAATTATCAAAATTTAATGTCATTCAGGAAGGAGTAACAACGGAATTTCTAGATGATGCCGTATTTGAAATGATTATATCAAATGGAGCTTACCCAAGTCCTTTAAATTATTTACGTTTTCCAAAATCGATTTGCACAAGCGTAAATAATGTTGCGTGCCATGGGATTCCTGATAATAGGCCACTGCGAAATGGTGATATTCTGAATGTTGATATTACGGTACGAAAAGTTGTCTATTAATTATTAAAACATTGAGCATTGCCGAAAAAAAAAAAAAAAAACAATTTTTATAAGGTAATCCAAAAATGAAAAGATTTTTGAAAATTTTTAGGATTTTTTTCAACAAATTATTATAAAAAAGAAGTTTTCAAAATTGTACAGATTGAAATTGAGAAAATAACTATGAATGCAATTTTTTTTATGCGTCTTTAGTACTCATTTATTTTTTAAATAAAATTCTAAAAATTGTTAGAGATCTTTTAATTTCAGTAATATATTAATAAGTTGTTCTCTATTATAGGTATTTCTAAACGGATATCATGGCGATTGTTCAACAATGTTTGCAGTTGGAGAAATCGACAATCATGCTAAGAAACTAATTGATACCACGAAAAACTGTCTTGATGCTGCAATTAATATTTGTAAACCTAGTGAAGATTTCAGAACTATCGGTAACACACATCACTAAATTATTTATAGTATTATTTATCGAAATATTAATTTTATCAATTATTTTTCAGGGGCTACTATTGAAAAGTTAGCGAATGAAAATGGTTTTACAGTTGTCCCATCATTTTGTGGTCATGGGATCGGGACTTATTTCCACGGGCCTCCAGATATATATCATTTCGGTAAGTAAATATTTTTTAACTGTTAATTACTTTCTTAATTAAAAATAATTTTTTTTTTTTCTAATGACAGCAAATGATTTTCCCGGTAAAATGGCACCCGGAATGACATTTACAATAGAACCTCTGCTAACTCAAGGTAAAAAAGATATTGCTATTCTTGAAGACTCATGGACCGCAGTGATGGTTGACTTTGCTAGAACAGCGCAGTTTGAGCATACCATTTTGATAACCGAAGATGGTTGTGAGATACTTACATTGTAGATACATATAAATTTAATTATGTTATGTATGTAAAAATGTAAATACAGTGAAATTGTCGGCGACTGCTACCTTTAGAAATAACAATGTTGATTTTTATTTTTTTAAGTACTAAAACATTTAAATAAACAATGTATACAAGATAGATATTTATTTTGCATTGTACAACAGTAAGAACTGTTTTTTACAATTTTTTCATCACAGTTTCTTAAAATCAAATCTGCATCTTAGATATTATTTAAAGCTCTGGTTCTAGCACCACATTTACTTAAATATTTCATTTCGTCTTATTGATAATATCACTTTTAACTAGCTTAGGTATTTTAGAAATTTTTGGAACAATTTATATTAAATCAAAATATATTAAAGACTCTACAAACTAACTTTTATGGCACTTGTTGACTAAAATTAAAGGAATTTACGATAGCCTCTGTGAGGCAATTATGAAAAATAAATATTCTGCATTGGTTGTCTACTTCTTTGGCTGCCATCTAAACACCTTCGTTCGGGACTTGTTGGGCTGCTGCATCATGAACTTCAGGCAAGGGGTCACTCCCATCTCTTGTGAGTTTTAGAAATTTACCCACAAGTTGGCAAATTTCTTGTACTGGTTCACCTCTTAGTGTCTGTAGTAATAACCAGTCAAAGTCTGCTTCTGTTTTTCTACCCATCCAATCCAAGACAAAACTTCTCACCTCTGCCTTGACACTATACAATAATGTTCTGCATCTGAATATGTGCTCTAAGGTCTCTTCTTCACCTTGGCATAAACGACATAGCCAATCCCTGTAGCCCTTCTTTCCTGCCTTTCCTATGTTGCCGCATCTGATTCTGCACCAGGCTAATTTCATCCAACTTGGGGTTTTTCTGTCTAACCAATACGGTTCTTAAACAATGTATACAAATTTTTTTTCAAACACATAAGCTAAAATTTTTTTTATTATTAGTTTTAGTTCTAGAGAATTTTTAAATTATTAGGTAGTTTAGATGTCTATAGAATTTTTAAAATACCTCGGAATATTTGGACAGTTCAAAGTTTTAAGATTCTTTGAAATGTAATGTAACTTTTTTTGAGGTTTACATCTTTTTGAACTCATTAGTAAGTCTGAAGTATATATCGAATATTTGTGCAGCTTCAAAACCTTAAAAAAATTATCTTTATCGAAAAAAACACAAAACATTATAGCAAAATCAGACATCATGATCAATCGCATTGAGAAAGTTCAGAGAAACATGTGCAGAACTCTAACTTTTCACCGAGTTCAACCAGTACATGAAAACTAATTGGAGACTTGCCGTTGTTTATTCAAGATTAATAGTCTCAGATCACGACGCCAAATTGCTGACCTGGCCTTTTTCTTTAAAGTAGCAAATGGTCTTATTGACGCGCCTGAAATCAAAAGTAGCTTCAAATTCAGACCCACTGATCTACCATTGAGACGTAAACGCTTGCTCAAGACTGCTAAATCGACCAAAAATTACGTCGTTAATGAGCCACACCACCGCATTGCCAATCTTGTAAATTCTCTACACAACGATTTGGATTTCTACGAAGGATCGTATAGTAACTTCATCACGGCCACGAAGAATTTGCTTCTCACTTACCACTAAATAAATAATTTAATTAATCACTCGAATTTTTCCCTGATACATTACATAAATTCTGTAAATATTTATGTATATTGCCGATTGGCGTTTATGATTTATGATTTATGATTTATGATTAAAAGCAAAGTTATTGAACAATATCTCATTAAATTGTTGTAACAACTTTTTATTTAATTTGTATTGAAAATGAATCAAACTTGATGAGAAAGATTAATAACATATACTGTATAAAAAAGAAGTAGGATTAAGATTCATATTCTATTGGTTTATCCATCGTAGCAACTTCCCAGAAACCTTTATTATCAATTGGTCCTCTTATTTCAACACCTCTTTCTTTTGTGATAATGCCCAGTTCATACTAATAAGAAAAAAATATAAAAATTGAAAAATTTAATATTGAAAGCCAATCGAACAAAAATTTGAAAGCATTACTTACTTTAGGGAATGATCGAGCGTCTCTCATGTAAAGTACTTCCATGCATTTATGAAGTAATGCAGCAGCTTCTTTTTCAGTCATTTCTTTGTTAGCTTCCCAGGCTTTGCGAAGTAACGGTGTAGCCATGTAGGAACCATAACCAGTTGCAATGACTGGATCAACATAAGCTGTACCTAGTTTATCTACAGTTCCCATGAACCTATAACAATTAATAAATTAGTTTTATAGATTGACATGATTGTATGAGTTAAATAGCGTTTAATGTAATGTATATTATTTTCATCTTACGGTTTTCCATCTTCAATTCCAGCAATGATGAAGTTATTCCAGAGAGGATTAAACTTGGATCTTTGATTGTACAATACACGAGTCAACCAGCAGTGAAGAGATTTTGGTTTGAGTGTAAATCCATCGTCTAAACAATTTTCTTCCAGGCTGCAGATAGGTTAAAATAATGTTTAAATATTTTTCTGAATCATTAGTGATGATAATTCAACAAAATTAATAAAAGCTTACGAAAAATGTATGTAAAACATGAAACATACTTTTTCGTGTAATATTATTTTTAAATTGTAGTAGTAAAATTAGAGATAAAGTTATTAATTTAAAAGTATTGCACTGATATATTATTAAATTAAAAAAAAAAAAAAACGGTAAAATAAAATTTTGTTTTTGTTTGAAAAAAAATATTAAAATGATCAATAAGAAAATAAATTGTGTATTATGAATAAATTTTTGTTGAGTGAATAGTTGAAAATTTCTATATCAATGAAATCAGGAAACATCTGAATATTTTTGTTTTTTTTTTTTTCTTAAACAAATAATCTAATAAGTACCAAGAATATATTTTCAAAAAATTGTAATAATTCTTAATAATTTTTTTTTAATTCTAAAAATTTTGAGATGATTGAAAATTCATGATACTGAATTTAACAGACATTTAACAATTTTTTTGATTTTTATAACAATTAAGGGGGATAGCCACTGTGAAATTTCAAAAAAAAAAAATTTTTTTTTTTTTATTAAATCCAAGTTTATAGATTCAAAAAGAGTTATAGTCATTTTTGTGACAGTGCGTCAAATGACTTAACAACTTTTTTTTTCCCCGTATTCGTCTATTCAGTAGCTATAGTTGCACGTAAGGGATTTTGGAAATTTTAATTTTTAAGATTTTTTAGGGCTGTTTGAATCCAAAAATTAAGGAAAAAAAAACGAAAAAATTTTCAATGTCGCCATTTTTTTTTAAATCTAAATTTTCAAAAACCCCTACGTGCAACGATAACCACATGCATGCAGATTACAACGCTCTTTCGTTTTTTTTGTTTTAGATAATCCGTTTTTGAGTTAGAGATCGCATGATGGAGGGGGAAATTTTTTTGGTGCTCCACAAAAATGCTAATAACTTTGTAACAACATGTTATTTTTTGATAAAAATTCAGGAGAATAATCTTTAATGTATACTTTATAAAACAAAAAAAAAACCCGATCCCCAAATTCCTTTAGTATCCCAGTCAAAAAAATTCCCGAAAATCACCTATTTTTTCGATCCTCACAGTGGCTTTCCCTCTTAAATTATAATGAAAAAAATTTAGCAAAAAAATTCCACATGTATAAATAAAAAGAAATTCTAAGTGCGAATTTTTAAAAATATTCTTTTTTGTAATCATTGGTTGGTTATAAAAATTCCAAAAATTGTCAGATGTCTGCTAATTTCAGTGACATGTAAATGTCACAAAAATTTTGGAATAAATAATTATTTTTTCAGCAGTTTTTATCTAAATTGTCAAGTGTTAGTGTCATCAGTTAAAAAATCTTAAAAAAAATACCACGATTAAATAAACTTACATTTTTTGTTTAATAATATTTTCAATATACTGAAAATCAGCGTAATCACCTCCAGCACCTAGTACAATGTTAGAATTGACTTTCATTACTCTTTTAACGCTTCTGTATCTTGCCAATGATCCATAAGATGCAAGAATATCAGCGGCAATCATTACACCATCTTTAAATTGTATGCCAACAACTGAAGTACCAGTTGTTACTGGAGATCTAGAAATAAATATTCATATTAGTCAAAATAAAAATATATTAGTTAATTTTTACTCTATCTAGTTTATTGGTTGTAATATACTCTGAATGAAATTCGAGGTTATAAATTAGTTTTTACTTAACTAAAAAGAAAAAGGATGAATTATTAATTTTAACAAATAATAAAATTTAGATTATGTTAATTAAAATAATATAGTAAATAAAAAATAACTATTATAAGAGTGTTTAAAGTGTAAAATGTAAATTGACAAAGACATGACATGCACTTTTCAGCGCAAACTCTAACTTGTTTTTTCACAGAATAATATAAAAACTTACTGGGATCTTTGAATGCCACTAAGTTCAGCATTGATCAATCTACCAGGAAAGTTGTAAATAGCTCCTGGAGCTGGTCCATTATGCCAAAAAGGTGCTGGAGAAAACATATCACTTTTTTGAAATGCTGCCATGTTTGTTAGTTTTACTTGATATAGACAGAATATACCGACTGAACGCTGAACAGACTATGAAACAGAGTGAAACAAACACAAGACTAGAAAATAATCGTAAAGGTGAATTTTTATCGATCTAAATTCATCATGGAGGCGCACGAAGCTAATTGATGTTGTTATGCTGCCATCTGCTGTGAGATTTATTGTACTTTAGTTTTTAATTAAAATAAAGACTTACCAATCGCCGATAATTCCGTGGAAATATATATATTTGATGATAACACCAAATTTGGAAAAATAAATATTTAAAAATTGCTAAAATTAAAATTTCATATTTCCTCATTATTTTTTTTTTTTATTGTACATACGTTTTCTTTTATAATTAATTGATTAATTTTCGTAGTTAATCTTTACTATTAATTCTAGTTACTCATTTAAAGGACTCGTTTTGATTCAACAGTTTGATAAAAAAAAGTTGTTAGGTCGGGGAAAATTCCAGAGTTATACTGATAAAAATCGGGAAGAACAAAAAACCAATTTTTGAATTACCAATCAAATATTTCACAAGTGATGGAAAAATAAGAAATCATTTTTTCTATCTTAATCAATCGAACGCTACTCTATTATTGAAACTAGGTCGTAGTAAATGTATTTTCTAAAATTTTATTTCTTTAATTACTTTTTGAAAAAATTGTTAAATGAACTATTAAAAAGTTTCCGCAATAGCTAGTCATATCTTATTTTTCGGAAACTTCTTTTTATTGGATTTCAAAATTTATTTAAGACGTAATTAGAAAAATAAAATTTCCAAGAATTAATTTACTACGGCCTACCTTTAATTGTATGGTATAATTTGCTTCCATCTAAAATTTGTGAAATTTTTGAGTATTTTTATTTGTAACATTATTAGTAAAAAAAAAAAAACCTCTACTATCTAATTATTCTGCAATTTAATAGGGAAAATAGTTTCTTAATCAAAAATTAATTTTCAGAAATTATCATCGATATAGAACGACAAATTTTTTAATCATGTGAAAAAAAATGAGTAAGAAGTGAGAAAATTATTGTAAATTCAAATTTGAAGTTAAATAACTTTTAAAAAAGACAATTTATCGAAGATAATTAAGATGCTTTTTGGTAAAAAATTTAATTTGCTTAAAATATATACGTCATTGACATTTTTTCGCAAGATGATTTGGAAGTTTCAAGAAGGAAATGTGGTCAGGAAAAAACAGTCATAAGAAATTGCGATGATAGGCTTCTAAACATTGATATTAAGGTGGATCGGACATTCAAGACAATACGAGGATGAAAAGCTGAGTTTTGAATATCTTGTTAATTGATAGTAAATACGGATGAAATTTTTTTGAAAAAAATCTAACAAAGAGTTTTTGAATAATTAATTATTAAAAATCGGACTTCTAATGAATAATCCATATTAAATTTTAGTCGAAAATATTCATGTTGAATAATATCACCGAACTACTAACGATAAGAAAACGAAAAACTGTTACCCAGACAACATCCAAGTCAGAAGGATTTCTTAAAGATGTCTTTTCAAAGACTTCCTTGAAAACTCCAAATATGACGTCTTAAAGACCTCATTTTTCGGAACTCTTAATTAAGAAGTCTTTAAGAAATTTTTTTTAAGTTCTATAAGACATCACAGATATGAGCTCTTTGAGAAGTCTTTTTTCCGACTCCGTAAGGGGTCAAAAAAATGAGCTGTTTAAGAGGTCTTTTTATGGACTTTCCAAGACATCAGAAATATGAGCTCTTTAAGAGTTCTTTTTTTCTGACTTCGTAAGACATCAAGAATAGGAGCTCTTGAATAGGTTTTTTTTTTTCTGATTTTGTACTTCGTCAAAATATGGGACTTAGAAAAATTTTTTTCACGTTATTGAAGAATTTTTAAAATGATAAAAAAATAAAAATAATCGCATTCGAGTGAACTCATTTCGCTGTGTATTTATTTTTATATTATAAAAATATTATCGTAAATAGCAAAACGTTCAGTAATTCTACTTATTGAAAATTAAATCGATAATTAAATCGAAAAGTATTTTTTTTTATTTTTGGGTAGAAAAGTTGATATCAAGTTATTTATCGTTGCTATAAGTCGTTTGTAATCTTATCTGAACATAAGAGCTTATGTAGAGAAAAAAAAATTACTATCTCATTAGGAGCAGCTAGCCAAGGCAGACCAAAGGACACCACATCACTGAAGTTAAGACGCATTAGTCATGATAAATACTTGAATGGGTGACCGCTAGTAAATTCGTATTCTAAGCTGCGAGCGACACCATTTTTTTTTTTATTCCGAAGAAAATATATTTTAATGTACTTGATTGTCTTCAATTTAAGCTCTTTTTCAATATTAATTACAATACAATTAAAACTGAAAATGTCTCCTCTATAAACTATTTTTTTCTGGAGTCAGAAAGGGCTCTTAATTCTGACTTCTTGAAGAACTCTTTTTTTGAAGTCAGAAAAAAGAGCTCTTTAAGAACTCTCTATGAAGTCCTGATTCACTCTTTAGGTGGCGCATTGGACGTCCTCAAAACGTCTTGGAGACCTCATCTTGATCAAAATTCTGACGTCTAAATCTTAAATAAGAGTTCTTTGAGAACTGTAAAAGACGTCATATTGCTATCTGGGTATTTATACAAATCGTTTATTGTAGATTGTTAGAAAAAAAAAATATTCTCATAAAGGGTTTCGTTGATATCTTAATAGAAATAGAATATTTATTGGCAAAGTAACTAGGAGTAAAAGTGAGCAAGCGATAGTCCGTGAGAAAGACAGAACTTGCGATCAAGAAGAAATGATATATAAAATGCTTATAATGCTAGTATATTAAAAAGAAAAATGAAATTTTTATAGACCAGTCTTGTTTTATGTACTTTGTATACTTTGATCAGATTAATAATTAATTATTCATGGAACTCTATAGGAAAACTAAAAAAATTTAAACTATAAATTATGAACCCATATAAAGGTCGAGGTGAATCTTAAATTAAATTTATCATGCAGTAAATCTCCTTTTTTCAAGAAGAAAAAATAAATATATAGAATGAGTAAAATAAAACAATATTATTATAATTAATAATTTATTCGTCATAATTTTATTTATAAGATTTATATCATGAATGATGGAGTAGTGAATTGGAGATGTAAAAAGACAACAAATATTTTTTTCATATGCATACTTTTTGTTTTTTTGTTCGGGGTGATTTTATTTAATAGTTCTAACCGCTGAAGTATAATGGTTCGGACGGACAATTCAAGTCTTCCGAGTTAATTGTTAATAGATAACCCCAATAAATAACGCAAAGAGCAATTAGTTTTCAGTATTACAAGTTTTACAGTTTTTTTTATTGGTTTTACTTTTTTATATTTTTTTTTATTTTTTATCATTTTTTCATACAATTGAAATATTTTGAGGATTGTTATAGACAGAAAAGATTATATTGTTAACGAAGCGTTTCGAAAAATAAATATTGGTTAACTTGTTTTCCGTCGATATTTAAGTATTGAAGAGAGAAAAAATTTATTTATTTATTATTATTTGGTTGTATTTCAATACAAATAGGTTCAAGTGAAAGGAAAGCGCGAGAGAAAAAAGCGAAATTATAAGTTTATAAATAATAAATAAGAGAAAAATTAGTTTGACAAAGTCTTGACTTTATATTATAATAATAATTATTCTTATCCTTATTCTTATCATTAATTTATAATTATTATTATTATTATTACTTTTATTAATATTTATATTATTATATAGTAACTTTATTATTAAAAAGGCGTATCAATTTATATATTTTTTTTTCACTCGCACTTTCCCGCCACATTTACAATAAAAACCTATACGCATTATTTCTTTCTTCATCACGTTAGCAATACGTTTAATAATTCGTTCATTATTAATTAATATGCAGTCAATAATACAATAATTGACTGCTAGGAGCAAATCGATCACATACAAAAAAGATCAAATAATAGAAATTTTACAAAAATTTCAGCTATTAAATGTTTTTTTCTTTTTTTTTTTTGTTTATATAATTATCGTCAATATTAGTATAAGAATTATTAATATTAAAATTTATCTTTTTTCTTTATACTCGGGCTATATAATATAATAAACGCATTATAATGTTATAAAGTTTTTTCATTCATTTATTTTTTATCAATAAGCTCCAACGTTAAAGCCCGCGAATTTTGTTAACAAATTAATTATACATTTTTTATAGTACTCTGGGGCTTATTTTACAAAAAAGATTCAAACGTATTCAGAATTCACTTTCTTTGTAATTTTTTTTTCATTATCAAAAATCTTAACGTTCAAGAACATCCAAGTTTAATGTAAATCAATTAATGTAAATATCAATTTAGTTTTTTTTAATTTGCCAACAATACTATCATAAAAAAGGATAAAATAATATAAATTGAAAAAAAAAAAATGTAAAATATTATTTAGAAGTAAATGAACAATAATTTAAATTTCTTTAAAATTCTATATTAATTTTAACGAATTAAAATTTTTTAATGTTATTCAAGAGAGTTATTCAAAAACTTTAGCATTTAAGTAAAAGCATACTTTTTTGATTTTCACATAGTTTTATTATTATCACTGGGTCCTTAGCACACTTCTTGTCACTACACTCACAGTTTTTTCTTAAGTAATATTGAACTTAATTTTTTTGTGTTAACAAAAATTTTTTTTTCGTATGTATAATATATATGAAATTTTCGTCATTGTATCAAAAAAAGTTTGTATAAAAAATTTTTATGTTAAGTATTTATATGAAATTAACATCAAGGTGTTAAAAAATCAAACAAAAATTTTTTTACACAAATTTTTTGGACACAATGACAGAAAATTTTTCACTGTGTATATATATTTTGAGAATAATTAATCAATTTAAGAAATTTCGTTAATTATTTTACGTATTAAAAGCCGTGGAAGTAATCAAAGCCAATAGTACTTTGTTTATTATTCTTTAATATTAATTTTTGTA